GTCTGGAAATATACCTAATGCTGCTTAAACATTCAATTGATTGTGTGTCTAGGGACACAATTCTAGGCTGAAAAACATTTTCCTTCAGAATTTTGTAGGTATTGTTCCATGGCCTTTGAGCTTCCACCGTTGCTGTTCAGATATTGCATGTGGCTATGAATCTTGTTCCGCCGTGTATGGCCTGCCTTTCCTTTCTGTGTGCCTTTCTACGTGCTCTGAATCTCTGGTGTTCTGAAGCTTCGTGATGCAATGTTGGGCTTTGTTTATGTTTGGCGCATGGTGGACTTTCAATCTCAAGTCTTGTTCATCAGTCCCGCAAAATTCCAATATATTGTATCTTTGATCATTTCTTTCCCCTGCTTTGATTTTCTTCTTCTGAAATCCTGTTGTTTGGATGCTGGATCTTCTGGGCTGATCCTCTAAGTTTCATTTTTTCCTCCTTCCCTGAACCACCCAGCATTTACTTTGTGAATAACTTATAATAACTGTTTTTCAAAGTTAGGCATGTACTCTCTTAGTCATGGACAAAAATGTGGGCTTTCATGCCTGCAGCTGAGCAGTAGGCCAGTTAACTCCAATATCTCATCCACAGTCTGTCTTCCTTCTCCCACTTTGCAAAAGGCAGGTATAGTCCTCACTGGGTCCTGACTCCCAGCAAGGTGCCTCGACTTAGAGTGTTAAATCTTAGAAGTACCAAACAAACAGGTACTTGGAAATACTTTTACCCATGAAGCTCATAAGTGGCTTGTAAGAAAAAACACATTTTGGCCTGATATTTTGAATTCAGACATTGTAGGACAGGATAGTGACTACTTTTGTTTAGCAGACCATACCCGATTGTTTTGAAAGTGTATTACTCCTGAGAGCAAGACCAGTAAAAGTGAAGAAAATAAAGGAACTGTCTGGAATGCCAATGACAGACTTACTGAAGGTAGACATGCCTTCATCTTTGTGTTTATCTGTGACAGTGCTGCAGTTCAGGTGTGAGAGGGCTGTCATAGGAATAAGGTACTTATTGGAAGCAAAAAGTTCACTCAGAGAAAGTAAGTTGATCTGGTAAATTAATTTGACAATGAGGACTGAATTTGCCTTTAGGTTGTCACTATGAATTGAACAAGCTAATAGGCTAATTCTGGGCTCTGATGGTTTGATGTAAATACAGCATGTGATAAAAATAGAAAAATATTATTATATACATGAAAATGCATAAAATTAATAATGGTTTAATTCTCTCAATCCTTTCTGAGTAGATCAGGTTAAGCAAGTTGTCTCTAAGTGAAAGATTGACCAATATAACTAGTAGTCTTTTATTAAGTCCTGATAAGCCTTTTTGGTATGCTACTTGGAAACTAAATGAGAGAATGATCACAAATCCTTTCATAATGCACATTTTTAAAAAAGTTCAACAAAATTAAGGGTCCAATTGAGTTATTAGCTGACGTATTATTAAAAATTAGTTTGATGATGAATTTTTGTATGCTTTTTGGCCATAACTTAGAAATAATTCATGGAGTTGAATAACATTGTTCCTTCCAGTCCTATTTATTTACCTATGAAAATAAGATTTTAAATAATTTTATAATAGCAAAAAATAATAATAGAATATATGCTGAACATTATTTCACTTTAGTAATAAGAAATATCCATTCATTAATATTTAAATCTCATTAGGATAAACTTCTAAAATAACTGCTTTAAAAATGAGTCATTTTATCAAAATTTATAATACTGATTTTTTTCTTTCATCAATTGTGTACTACTAATAATCAAAAATGCTAACTCAACCCAGAAAAAATGGTTAAACATTTTGATCTTTGTAGACATAGGACATTTTTAAAAATTTGATTTCAAATTATAGATATTTTTGTTGCAGGAACTTATAATAGAATCATCAAAAATATTTTAAGATATGTATTTATTACTTTGGGATAAAATTCTTTTAAGGAAACAGAATAGAAATATGAGAATAGAAAAGAATGCAATGAAATTTCTGATGGTTAGTATATACATTTTAATATGTAATATATATTTATATTTTATGTATTATAAAAATTTATAATATAATATATAAATTTTAAAAGGTTGTGATGAGCAATAAATTACTATGATATTTAAATTCCACTAGATACATAGAGAACAGTAATTTTAAAATATCAATATATACTATATTTTGGAAAACAACATCTTTTGAAGCTATTTAAACATACAATGAAAATTTTGAATGATAACTTAAAAATTTGATAACCATTAACTTACAGTTTTTTCTGTTCTCTCTTTGGGATTGCAACTATTTCTTTTCAAATTTCATTTCCTTTATGAGAATGCAGGTGATTGAGGATAGGGATCATATATTGTTCTAAGATTTGTGTTTTTCATAAAACTTTTTAAAAATTAAATGTATTGGGTTGACATTGGTTATTAAAATTATATAGGTTTCAGGTACAATTCTATAATACATCACCTGTACATTGTATTGTGTGTTCACCACCCCGAGTCATACCTCCTCCCATCACCATTTATCCCCCCTTCACCCTCTTCAGCCTCTCTTTCCCTCTGGTAATCACCATACTATTGTCTATGAAATACCTATTTCTTAATTCTTTAACCTTTTTCATTCTCTTTTGCAAAACTTTTTTTTCTTCGCATACCTTTTTTAAACTTATATTTTACTGAATATGTCATTACAGTTATCCCAACTTTTCTACCTTTGCCTCCCCTGCCTGATACCTCCCTTCTCTCCAGCAGTCCCCTCCTTAATTTATGTCCATAGGTCATACATATAAGTTCTTTGACTTCTCCATTTCCTATGCTATTCTTGACAATATCCCGTTTGTTTTGTCCCTGCCAATTATGCTTTTCAATCTTTGTATTTTTTTCCCCATTCTCCCCCTTCTCCCTCCCAGCTGATAACCCTCCATGTGATCTTCATATCTATGATTCTATTCCTGTTCTAGTTGTTTACTTAGTTTGGTTTTTAGGTCCAGTTTTTGATAGTGGTGAATTTGTTGTCTTTTCAATATTCATAGTTTTGATCTTTTTCTTAAATAAGTCCCTTTAACATTTTGTGTAATAAGGCATTGGTAATGATGAACTCCTTTTGATTTACTTTGTCTGGGAAGCACTTTATCTGTCCTCCCATTCTAAATGATAGCTTTATTTGATACAGTCATCTAGGTTGTAGGTCCTTGATTTTTGTCACTTTGAATACTTCTAGCTAGTCCCTTTTTGCCTGCAATGTTTCTTTTGAGAAATCAGCTGACAATCTTATGGGAACTCCTTTGTGGGTAACTCTCTGCTTTTCTCTTGTTGCTTTTAAGATTCTCTCTTTATCTTTAACCTTTGGCATTTTAATTATGAGATGTCTATTGTGATTCTCTTTGAATACAACTTGTTTGGGACTCTGTACTTCTGGGACTTGTGTATCTATTTCCTTTTCAAATTAGGGAAGTTTTCTTTCATTATTTTTTCAAATAAGTTTTCAATTTCTTGCTCTTCTGGTCCTTCTGGCATCCCTATGATTCAGATGTTGACACATTTAGATATGTCCCAGAGTCTTATACTATCCTTGTATTTTTTAATTCTTGTTTTTTTTTCTGTTCTGGTTTAATGTTTATTTCTTCCTTATGTTCCAAATCATTGATTTGAATCCCAGCTTCCTTCCCTTCACTGTTGGTTCCCTGTATATTTTTTTTTTATTTCACTTAGTATAAACTTCATTTCTTCCTTTATGGTGTTGCCATACTCAAGGATTTCTTTGAGCACACTGATCATCACTCTTTTACACTCTGCATCTGTTAGGTTGGCTATTTCTGTTTCATTTAGTTCTTTCTCTGGGGTTTTGTTTTGTTCTCTCATTTGGGCCATATTTCTTTGTCTCCTCAATTTGGCAGCCTCTCTGTGTTTGTTTCTGTGTATTAGGTAGAGCTGCTTTGGCTCCCTGTAAAAGGCACCAGTAAATTGTATGGGGCAGAGCCTTAGGTAATTGCCAGGGTGGGGAAACCCATTTAATCACTTTGTGGCTCTGTGTGGGGGGAGGGTTAGGAAAGGGGTCTGTGCCACTGCCTGACTTTTGGGCGTTTTCCCAGCACTTAACCTGTTTCTAATCACTACACCCACTTACCAGCTATTATAGGTGGCTAGCACCCTTCCAGCTATTGCCCTGGTGTTGAATCCCAGAGTGGGTGGGTTTGTGTATGTTTTAAGACTATTCAGGCCCTTTAATGGGAGTTTCTTGAAAATCCAGCAGTTTCTTCCACTGTCCCAACCCCTACTGTTTTTTACAGCCAGAAGTTATGGGGATTTATCTTCCCAGTACTGGAAACCTGGACTGTGTAGTCTGTCCTGGGACTGGGATCACTTGCTCCCAAGGTATCCCTCCCGATTTTTATCCACCACATGTGAATGTGGGGCTGCCAGTGTCTGTTACACTTCCATTGCTGCTACTTCTCTGCACCACACCATGTCTCCTTGCCTGTCTGCCCTGTGTCTGAGTCTTCACCCCTCCTTCCTGTCTGTATGCATGTGGCTTCTTTAAATCCTTGGTTGTTGTACTTCCATACAGCTCTATTTTCTGACAGTTCTGGGTGTTGTTTTGAGATTTGGTTGTAATTCTTTCTGTAGTTGTATAAGGAGATGAAACATGTCTACCTATATACCTCCATATTTACTGGAAGTATCTCTTTCACAAAACTTTAATGAAGTGTATTGTTCATAATAGGATCTTAATTAAATGTTTATTAAGCTAAATTATTTTTATTTTCATCAAAGGGAGTCATTTATTCCTCTTCAACTGTGCCTACCTACCCTTCAGGCTAGTTTTTCCTACCACTAATAATCAAAACAACTGCCTAAGGAAAATAAAATTTGGGTTTAAAAAGTAACTCATATATTATCTTTAAAATGAGAATAGGAAAAATATTGCAAAAAGGGAATGAGTATATACAGTAAACCGATATTAAGTTTCTTGAATATATTTTCTACATAAAATAAAACACACTAAGCATTTGGAAATACATTTATTAACATAAGACTATTATATATATATGTATGTATATATATATTCTTAACTAAAACCAGTTTCTTTTCATCATGGCTCTTTCTAATATGCACCAAATTAGAAGAGAGTAAACACATCAGCAAATGTCTCAAAGTAGTTTGCAATAAAACTTTTCTTCTCAGGTCATTGATATAGAATTGTTATGAAAAATTATATTTTTACACTTTTACTCAGCACTCTGCTTAAGACACCATAAGCACAAGCTATTGCCTAACATTGTTTTATTTGCTGCATATCCAACAATAAGCTACCAATAAGAAGTAGCTTATGCATGTACATTGGTTTACACACTTTGCAGTTTTTGAGGGTTTTCAAGAAGGTTTGGTTGTCCAATGGTGATAGTCTTTTAAAATTACATTTAATAAATGTAATTTTATTACATTTAATTACAATTTAATTGCATAATATTACATTATATTACAATTTAATTACAATATACAGCATTTTATCTTTTACTTTGTATTATTTGAATAAATAATATTACATATAGACCTCTTAAAAATAACAACTTAGGTAAAAGCAAATTTTAAAAATACAGTAAAAACTCTTATAACCTACTTAGAAATATCAAGTATGGGTTTAGGAATTAGATAGCAAATATCTCCCCTGGTTTTCACTTTCCCCTGCCTTTGTGAAATTGTTGCTTGAAGTGTGCGAGAGTATTATTTTGAATTATGAATTTGGCACTAGCGTATAGATATGATAGTCCTGTGTCCTAACAGTATCTTTGTCAATACTAATTCTAGGTCACACATTGGATACCAGACACTCTGGTTAGCACTTTACATTTAATCCTCACAACAACTCTCAGAGGTAGGTAACATTATTGGACCCACTTTATAAGAGAAGCCGCTAGCTTGAAGTTCATGGAAAACAAAAGACACAGACAAAAACATTTATATCCTGGTCTTCCCGAACTCCTTATTAGACTGTGAGCTCCTTGAGGGGGAGGCGTTCTCTTCCTGCGTCTCAGCAGAGAAGACCCTTGCCTTGATGCCATGGTAGTGGGCACCAGCTAGATGCAGCAGACAGGCAACTAGAGCAAGAAGTATAGTCATGCTTCGAACAAGCAAAGAGAAACATCATATCTATAAGATCATTGGAGTAGGGAACCACTTCCACAAAAATGATAGAGTACTATAAAAAAAATGTGTTCAAACTCACATCTAATTTCCCTGGGATTAAATCTAATTAATTAGTGACAATTTTATTATTTATTGTGCTGTACACCATTGAAGATCTAGGAGTTTTTATTGTTTAGCTAGTTCTTTTGTCCTAACATAAAGGGTTTACAGCTTCTAATTTCACTTTCGTGCTTCTTTGCACCTCATTTGTGTCTCTGCAAAAAAATTATGAAGGAAAAACAAATTTCAGGGTCTACATTTCTGGTATTTGTGGTTCTATCAAAATAATTAGAACTTAAAAGTGTCTTTTGGGCTCTTTATTAAACCTTTACTACCTTATTCTCTTAGCTAATGAGATGAGGAGTAGTGATTTGATTAAATCACATTCATTCTAAAAATGTTAAATTTCTTTATCATTGCAACTCTGGGCTTGTCAAAGGCCATCAGCATCCAGGAGACAAGGGGCACACAAGAGCCATTTGCCTGCTCCGCTATTCAGAGTCCCTACATGCCCCCCATCCAATCCATCAAGAGTTCACAGTTTAGCACAAACTATTGACGTTCACTCTGTCTTGAAGTCCTAAGTGAACAGAGTTGATCCAAAATTGGTCCAAAGGAAGTAAAAGTCAGTCCAAATGAAAAGAACAAATTTCGTTATTTGGACTACCAAGTTACATAAAGGTAAGCAGCAACAGCACACAAGCAAATGTTGAGTGTTTTTATGCACATTGCAGCAAACATAAAAAGGATTGATTTGAATGTGCTCCATTTGGTGAGAAAAACAACCTGAAGATGCTTCAGCAGGGGCTCAGCCTTTGGTAGCCATCAGAACTATATTTCCATAGTTGCGAAATTGACTGTGAGCAAAAGTCTATTTAATCATCTGTGTATTTTCAATTTGCCTACACATGTAAAAGCACTTAGACCAGTGCCTGGCACAGTGGGATTACACAGTAAATGTTAGCAATTGCAACAGGACCACTAGATAGCATCCATTCACAGCTGAAGCAAAGATGGAAACATCAAAGGGGACGATTGCTTTGTGTTAGGGAACTCAGTCTTCCTAGGAAAATTAAACAGGGATTTTGATCAAGTCTGAAATTCATGAAGTTTCAGGAGCCCACCCTCAGGAATTCTCCAACCCTACCTTTTCAACCTATTTAGAACCATAATGATTCAGAAAATGTATATATTTTTTAACAAACAGCATTTTTTTACTTGAGATTCCTTAAGTTAGACTGCTTAAATTTATTGGGGTTTGAAGAGATGTATAATATGCTTTGCTTAGCACTGAGCATATTTTATAACACAGCTCAGAAAACCAGGCTGTGCTTAATTAAAAAGCAAAATAAAACATATCCCATAGGATAGAACCAACAAGGAGTTAGTTTAATGGGGGTTTATTTCTTTTTAAGATTTTATTTATTTATTTTTAGAGAGAGGGGAAGGGAAGGAGAGAGAAGAGAAAAAAATCAACGTGTGGTTGCCTCTTGCACACCCCCTACTGGGGTCTTGGCCCGCAACCCAGACATGTGCATTGACTGGGAATAGAACCAGCAGTCCTTTAGTTCACAGTCCAGCCCTCAATCCACTGAGCCACACCAGCCAGGGCTTAACAAGGGCTTATAATAGATGTTTCTATTAACTATAAAACTTTTTTTACTGTTTAATCTAAGAAAACCTCTTTGGTCATCAACTAAAATGTTATTTGCTTGTTTTTTCCAAATATGGAAAGATCTTGGTAAGCCTGCCAAAAACAAAAGGCTTTCTTTACAAACACATTTTAATATACTCACTAAAAGCTTCCACATGAAAATATAGAAAAAAATAAAAATTTAATCAAAATGCAAATTCCAATGCATAAGAAAACACTGAGTGAGAGAAATGGAAAAGTTATCAATTTTACCATGAACTTTAACTGCCACTAGCTGTATCTCCTTTAGTATGAGGTCTGTGGGTAAGAAAATTCCAACCTAGATTCATATATGTAAATATTAATAGCTGTAGCTTCAGGTTTCTAGTCAGGTTTCTATGTAATATGATACATAAAAACAGCTTCAATTTCAGTAAAACCTTGTTATAAAGAAGAGAACTGGTAACATTTTAGAATGACCTTGCCCTTCAGTGTGATGAAATGAGCTAGACTTTAAGGTTTACTTAATTACAGATTTCTACTATCAAAAATAGATTTTGTAACTTTTAAAAAAAGTACTTTCTTTGGTAATATTTGATGACATTTCTGATCAGAGCCCATACAAGCTCCTTTAAAAAAATAAAACAATACTTTAAGATATAGACATAAAATTCTCAAAGAACACATTTAAAATCACAGAGCTTTCTTCCTTCTTCTGTTCATGTCAGCAAGCAGGTTATTTTTCTTTACTCAGTCTCTGTAGCTCCAAGGAATTTCATTTCTGTGGCTGCTTTTGGTGTTTTGGCTGAACCACTCTTCTTTCGGAATTCTGCCGCGATTTCCTCAAAGGACTTTCCTTTGGTCTCTGGAACTTTGAAAAATGTAAACAGAGTAAAGCCCAAGACCACTCCCGCGAAGAGGAAAAACACATAAGGCCCACAGAAGTCCTGCAGAGAGAACAAACACAGAGAGAGTCTCAGTCAGGGGTTGTTCAGCCCTGTCTTCAGCCGGTACATGTGCACGATATTAGGCCACTTACCGCAATGTAGGGGAAACACAGAGCTACAATGAAATTGCAGGTCCAGTTGCTGAAGGCAGCTATGGCTAGAGCCGCAGGGCGTGGTCCCTGACTGAAGAATTCAGCCACCATGAACCAGGGGATGGGGCCTGGCCCGATTTCAAAGAAACTGACAAAGAGGAAGATGGCGACCATGGCCACATAACTCATCCAAGTGAATTTATCCTGAGGAAAAGAACAATACAAAACAAAAACACAAGTAGAACTGGGATTATTGGCTGCTTCTTCCCGTAGCTTCGTAGACCCTTCCTGAGGTTAGCAATGAACATGGCCCTCTTCCTGGTAATTATGTGCAAATAAGCACAAGTTATTCTAGTTGGAGACAAGTTTACTCTAGTCTGAGTCACCCTTAAATCTTATGAGCTCTGTTATAGGAAAATCTTCTGGATTATGACTTTTATATGATTCTTGGTCACTCTTTTCCTATAAAAGAGGCAGGGTCAGGATCCAGTGACCTTTGCTCCTACTAATAGCTAGGCTGCTAGATTGGGTGCATGTGAAGTAGTGGTTGAGCATCCTGGGCTGGAGATGCCCGGACACTTGCCCAAGGTCACACAGGCAGCCAAGTAGCAGAGCCAGCACTGGAACCAGTTTGGGGCTGACCCCAGAGCCTGTGCTCTGGCCACGTCTGCCTCCCTGGCTAACACGTGCAATTTACTTGCTGATGTTCAGCCTTTACACTCCCTAAACTAGCTATCTTTTTCTTTCATTCCTCCTTTGTGATAAATGCTCTTCCTCTGGCTTTATTTCATAAGTCATTCTCAGAAGTTCTTTGATGTTACCAGCACTTTAACCCAGAGCATGGAATTGCTATCACATGGCAGCCCCCACCCTCAGTGCAGGCACCAAACTCACCAGCAGCACAAGCCCCACGGACATGAAGATGGTGCAGACAAACATCCCACTCATTCCAATTAGAAACAGAGAGCGTCGCCCTGCCTTCTCCACGAGGAATACCTGTGGAAGTTTTAGAACATGCAGGTTGACACTTAAATAGCTTTTACTGACAGAGAGGTCATTTTGATTCATACAACTGGAAAGAGGCAGTTCTGTTACCCCGTTTTACTGACGTGGAACTGAGAGGGGGAGTGGCTCTTGCCCGAGGGAGTGAAGCTGGTCTCAGTGACCAGAGGTGACGCCCACAAATACCTGCTGCACTCAGTCACGTTGGTTTGAACACGGTGTTCCAGAGGAAGAACCCCAGTGCTACCGCCGCTTTATGGTGATCACTTTGGGTACAGTACTAAGAGGCCATACCTCTTTAGATCTCTTCCAGCAGATTTCCTATCTGTTTAAAATGTGACATTTCTGCACAAAAATGATACCAGTGTCTCTCCTGAACGTGTGTGCACTGTGGACACTGGAAACAGTACAACTGCTGAGGTGTCAACTATTCTCACTCAACTTTCTCACTGAGAGTAACGTTTAATTATGACCACTCACCTGGCCATGTATGGGATTTGATGGCTTTACTAAATTAGTCAGGTCTTCTTTTTTCTGGTGTGCCTAAATGTACCTGGTGCTAGGAATGAACTATCCACTTGGAAAGGGAAGACTTTAAAGCAAAAGTGTAAAGTGATACACTTCATTTAAGTCAAGAGATAGGTCACTGATTCTTTTGGGGACCTTTGCATAAATGGTTAAGATTTACAGTTAGCCAAAACCAGAGTTTTTTGGATAGAATCTTGCTTGATACTGCCAAGCTGGGTGAATCACTCACAGAAAAGGCTACCTATTTTAATTTCTCACTTTGGTGAGTAAATTGGCTAGGTTCATAGATCTATCAGTGGATCAACAGCAATCAAATACCCTTAGCATAGTGAGCTCTGGCTCTGAAAATATCTGAGAAACATTTCTTTTCACCTACAGTGAAAACCTTTTTCATCTCAGAGGCATTTTGTAATCAGTATCAAATCACTTCAGGATGATAAGCAAAGAGCCCACATTTAACTGTTGAGAAGGAAGTGAGAAAAATATTCATGCTCATAAAATTTCTCTCTATATCTGACTCTTTCATCATGGCTTTTAAAGCTGACTCCATGACTCCATGTCAAGTTACAAAGAAAATAGAAGCATTTCTTCAGGAACAAGGGCTTTTATTATGTCTGTTTTTTTTTCTGTTTCTGAATACTTATTAATAATAGATAATAAACTCTAAAACTGCATGCCTTGAAAATTAAGTCAGACTCCTGTTGGAGGCCAGGTGAGCGTGCAGGGAGGGATGTGACACGGGTGAGATGCGGTCGAGGCCTGGAGATGTCTGCTGGCCTTGGCTCTCACCCTTGCCCCAGACAGTGTGCGTCCCTCAGACCCTGGGAGCTGACTTCGAGTTTGGTAGCCACTGCTTCCCCCGCTAGACCCATCTTGCCTCCCGGCTCCCTCCATATTTCTTCCTGTTTTGTTTTCTCTCTCAAGATTACAGGCTGCCTGCTACGGGCATGTCAGTGTGGTAGAAAACGCGGAATATGGAACGTAATTCAAAGCGGAGTCAGGAACATTTCTCTCTTTTCCCAAATATTTATTTAAAGAAAAGGAAAAGACTGATTTTGTTCCTTCTAAGTTGTTGAAACAATATATTTCGGTACCTGTTCCTATTTGCATATCTTTATTTTGATACATGGAATTTGGTAACATAGGTTCATTTGAGGGGGAGAAACTAGGTGATTGAGGGGCTACCTTTTCTGCACTTTAAAACAACTTTACAAAAATATGTATGTGTATATAAACATATTAAAGTTAATCATTAATATTAATTATATAATAACATTAATTTATATTAATTATAAATTAATAATAATTAATAAATTAATAATTAATATAGAATTATATATTAATTATATATTAATATATTTTAATATATTTATATATACATATTAATTATATATAATTAATTATATATATAATTAAAGTTTTAAAATGTTACTTGCAGTCCTGGAGCATCATTTGTAATTAGCTGATTAGAGATGACTTTAAATTATGTCACTCACTCAAAAACTTTCACGGAATAAAAAGATGAACTCTCTAAAGGTATATTCCAAATAACCAAGACTGTTTTCAAAGCAACTCGTCCCGCTTCAACGGGGTTGGCAGGGGGAGACAAAAATGACGTTCTGCAGTAGTTTCCTTTCAGGTGCTCTTAGAGTTTGGGCTACCCAGTTGTGACAATTTGATGCTTTACATGGCAAATCCTGTCATATATAAAATGTTTTCATCACAATCTCTTTTAGAAAAATATGTGTAGAACGTTTTATCTCAGGTGACAAAAGAATGCAAACAGTCTGTTGGATTGCATCAGCACCAGGCCTCCACTGATTCTGAGTGACCTTTTGGCTCAAACAGGCGTGATCTCTAAAGGCGTGTCTGCAGGCCCCGTGCTGTTCCCTCGTTATCTGTCCCGAGGTCTGGACAAAGCTGCCTTTTGATCTAGGTGGCCAGACTATAATTTATTGACTACTGAGAGGTAATAGTTTGAAGTCCACATGAAGAGAATGAAAAACAAATGACTGAAGTATACTGAGTATAGCAGTGTGATTGAAATAGAAAAGCACAAGTTCTTTGAACATCCTGTGTTCTAAGATAAAAAATAAGCCCCATTACATTAGTTGGGAAGCTTTTGTGTTGTTGTTGTTGCTTGTTCACTTTAATTTTTAGAATGCTATGTTAAATATTATTATTGTTGAGATACCAAATCATTCCTTATGTAAAGTATTTGGTCTTAAAAAGAGTATGTGGCCTCTTACCTTTGTTGGAAAAAAAATTTAAAAAAATAACATGTGACATTTTCTAAAGTATAAAATTTCAAAAATAACAGTAATAATTGACCTTATACACCACTTCTACTTCATCGTCTCATAACACCACACACTCTTGTGCATCGCCAGAAGCTGTGGCCTTGTGAGCTACTACGGAAGCTGTGCCCATTGGCCAAAAGTCATAAGAATTTGCTGAGTTTGTTTAATTTCACTAGAGGCTTAGCTACCTAATAGAGAGACCACATTTATTTTTTTCCAAGAAAAAATATAAACTTAAATGTTTTCTAAGACATCAGGATAAAAAATGAATCTCTACCATGGAAGGAGAGGAATCTAGGTACAAGACCCAGTATTGAAGGAAATCACAAGCTGTTAAACCGAACAGCTTTGGTACAGAACAAAGGAGAGGGATCCCAAGGAGTAAGTTCTGTGTGTCCCCAAGTGAGTTTTCGATCCACAAATGAGTAACTAATGGCATCCCCACTAATAGAGACAGCCAGGTATAACCAGAGAGAACCAGACAACCTGCTCTGTTCAATGGTATGCCTGTTCAATACAGTGATTGGTTTTTGACATACAGGAGTCCTCCCATGACCCACTTGGTTTCAATCCCCAGAGAATGTAGACAATAAGTCATTGATCACCTTTAGATCACAAGGTTTTGTTTTGCTTTCCTTTTAAATTCATTCCTGGACTAAGGAATAAGCAGACTATTTTAGGGTTGTTTTACTCACAGAGAGAACAGTGAAAACTGTGTTGATGGCACCAACGCCAATGGTTGCATAAACTGGCTGGCTGATTCCGGCTGTCTGAAAAATGCTGGTTGAGTAGTAAAAGATCTGCAAAGTAAAAACAGTTTAGCCTTAATCCAGAAGCCCGGCACTTATGGCTTTAAAGCAGGAAATATTTTAAGTAGTCTAATTTTAGTTGCTTCTATGTAACCATGGTCCCTAGAACTTCATAAAGATTTTATCCACCCTCTCCTTCTAGAGAAGGAGAAACCACACTTTTCCTTCAGTGTTTAAAGCTTCTGATTGCTTAAACTTCTTTTTATATTTAACAAGGACTCTGCATATGCATTTTCCTTATTTTTAAAAACTTTGAACCTTTTGTTTAAGTATAAAATACATACACAGTATAAAAAAGTACACATGTCAGGAATGTACAGCTCGATTAATTTTCACAAAGTAAATATATCTGTATAACCAATACCCAGATTAGGAAATAAATCCTTGCTTGCTCTCCCAAAGGCCCTAAATGTCACCCTATTTTCTCAAGGAAATGCCTTCAGCTTCTATCATCATAGATAAATTTTGCCTAGTCTTATGTTTGATATGATGAAACCACACAGTGTATATTATTTTGTATCTGGCTGCAACATTACCTTTGTGAGAATAATCTATAGTTGTATTTGTAAGCTATTCACTATCTTTACTATATAGTATTTTATTATATTAATATGCCACTATGTAGCTACCCATCCTACCATTGATGGGTATTTAGGTAGTCGCCATTTAGGGTGACTACGAACAGTGCTGCTCTGAACATTCTGGTGTGATCCTTTCAGTGAACTGTGCGTACATTTACACCTGGGAACAGGCCTGCAGGACAAGAGTATGCACATGCTCAGCTTTGACAGACACTGCCAGACAATTTTCCAAAGTTGTCGTGGCAGTTGACACTTTCCACTGTGTATAAGAGTTTCGGCTGTATTGCATTTAATCCAAAATTTCCCACTAATCTTGGTAGAGACGGAGAAATCTGATCCACAACCTCCCTAACAGCCTTTATTATTCAATTCTGCTTTAACTTTTATAGTAGTCTTTTAGGTCATTTTGTTGTTCTACCATCCGCCAGCAATCCTTCCCCACATACACGTCCTCTTTTTGCAGATGGCGCTGATGCAGGAGGACTGTGCACACGGTGCTGAGTGAGGACTGGTTTTAGCTCGCCGCACACTCTCCCACCATTTTCAGGCTGCCCAACAGCCTCAAGGCCAGTATTTGCTGGTTGCCTGTAAGTAAACCGTGGGATGAAAGCTAAACCAGGGATTTTCAGGGAGTTAAGTATTATACCATTGAATGTACAGGCAGAGCTGAGATAGAAGAAAGCAATTTGGTCTCTAAGCCCCAGAGATATAAAGGGTATTAGATGAAAATGAACATCAAGGACCCTTAAAGGAGGACAAAGACCACAGCAGAGCTGTATTCAGCATGTGGAGTGAGGTTCAGCTCTCCTTTTGCTTCACCTCATTGGAATTTGTTGGGAACTGCCCTGCCTGATATCAGAAACTATTACCCCTGCCAAGGCTAAGGCTGAGGGAGTGGCCTTGGATCATAAGCCAGCAAGGAGACAAAAGCTTATCTCCCTGGCAGGAGCACTGCTTCTGCTCCTTTTACTTCACCCTGCCTGGCCCCCAAGGCTTGATCTGTTAGCCAATGACGGGTAATATTCCCCAAGGGGGGAACGATCTAAGACAGGCACAATCATGTGGGAGGCCCCTAAAGAAGGACTTTGGAGGCTACAGCAAAAGGGAGTGATGGACCCTCGCTCCTCGGCTTTGACATAGCCTGAGTCCTCATCGTCTGAGAGAAAATCTTCTTATCTCTTGGTTGCCTTAGTTCCCTTGCTCCACCTAAGCCTGAAACAATGACAGGGTGGTGCAGCTCTGTGCTGAAAAGGGTGGGTTCCCCAGGTGATCAGGCCTAAGAAAGAATATGTAAAATCCTGTGAAACCTGCTTTGTTTAGAATGCTCTCAGTTAAATGATAAGGGTCCAAGGAAGAAGTAAGTTTGCTCCTTAAAGTTTTTTACAGCTCTTTGACCCTGACTCAAAATAGGCCCTCAGACTTCCTTGTTATCTATTGTTTGATCCTTACTTCCTAGCAATGAGTAATGAGCTTTTACCTGAATTCTTATTCAAATGAAACCAATAAAAAGCCTCTCCGGAGGGGGAACGGCATGCTCTCCCCACCAGGGAGGGTGGCCAAGTGGCACACTCCCCACGTGAGGAGTGGCCTTGGTGCCCTCCAGGAGAGAGGGTGGCCAAGGTACTCCCCACATGAGGAGTGGCCCTGCTGTTCCTATTCCCCCACAGGACCTGGTTGTCTCTGTGTATGTTTTTCTTGCGTGTTGACGAACATCCACAGCCAAGATGGATACTGCTGGCTGGTATCCATCCACAGGAATTACTTTCCTTGCCTGCCCCAACTCTCTATCCACCTATCAGTCACTCCCAAAGTGTCTTCTGTGGATCTCAAGTTGGTTCTCTATAGAGTGTAGAGGAAACCCAAATCTTATTTTCAACAGCAGTTAAAGGGAATAAGTGGTTTCCTTTGCTTAGTTTCTTAATGAATGCTTAATCATTTCCTTCTACTAGCTAACTGCCAGTAAAAATAATTTTAGTCTGCATAATACAAAGATTTCAGGTCAAAACCCCAAAGCTAGCAAGCTTTATATTTGGTACGTTTTTCAATCATGTCTTTTCCACCACCCTCACTCACCGTATCATATCGCTTCACTCTATCGTTTGTTTTGGGTGCATGTGCTTTCTCAGCAAATACAGTGAAAACTTCTTGGGTGGCAGGAAACATTTTGGCACCTGGATATCTGGTATACTTCATTTAAACAGAGGGAGCCACAGACTCTTTTAGCCACAGCTATTACAAATCCTAAATTTTATATTCAACTCGAAAAGCCCCTTGTAATTTAGTTTTCTTTGGTATAATTATTCTCCTTTCCCCTTTTATTTTATTATGTCTTTTGCCTCCTTACCTGAATCTTAATAGACGTACAATGCCATTGACTGTTGACATATTTAAAAAATACTGTATTTATTTATTTTAGAGAGGGTAATGGAGGGAGAGAAACATCGATATGTGAGAGATATACTGATCGGTTGCTTCTTGCATGCTCCCAACAGGGGACCTGGCCCGCAACCCAGGCATGTGCCCTGACTGGGAATCGAACTGGTGACCTTTTGGTTCACAGGCCAGCACTCAATCCACTGAGCCATACCAGCCAGGGCAGACTGTTGATATTTTTTAAAATTGTAAGCAATTTTAGAAAGCAGATGAGGCAAAACAGAAAATTAACACTCATTATTTGCTTATACTAAGACGTGATGTTAACATTTTAAAATTGTCTTTTAGCTATTTTAACTTATACCCCCTTATTTGCTCTATCCCAATTTGCTTTGCTCTTAAGAGTTAGGGGATATTCTTTAACTTACCCCGTTGATTCCAGAAAACTGCTGAGCCATGTGCAGCATCAGTGCCACCAGAATGGGCTGTCGGTAGCTGGAATTGGTGAAGAGCTGAATCATGGAGACTTTCTGTTCACTTAAGGCTTCTTCCCTTTCTTTTCTCATCTCAGTGATATCTTTGGTGACATCAGCACTGCCTCTGAGTCTTTTCAAGCCTGCCCCCAAAATGATTGCATTTATAACAACTCAGGTCAAAACAAAAATAAATTTCCATGTACTATGTAAATGAAACAGCTACCGCTCTATGTAGCCCTTTCTATTACTTGATAACATACACTTTGGGAATTCTTTTTTGTTAAATTAATTCCTGCTTTTTTTTTTAATTTCAGAAAGGCAGAACATTTGGCTTCATCTTATGACAAAGAGAACTATGACCCTCATATCCTTGAAGCATAAGGCTGAAAGGTCCTTTAGAAGAGTATGGTCGAGTCCAATATTCTGCATTTGGGCTTCTGATTTAGGCTGAGTGAATATTTATGGGTGCAAAATGGCATGTGCCTGTCACATTAAAGTGATCTTGCATGTTCTCCTTACATGTAATCACTGACTTCATTTGGAAAGTGCTGGTACCAATTTCATGAGTAGCCATTCATGCACAGTTTCTTATGAAGTGACAGTTCCAAAACGGTAGGTAGAAAGTAAAACCACCCATAGACTTACTTTGTTTTGCTTTGCTTTCCTCATCCAACTTGATGTAAAGGTATCTGGGGCTTTCTGGACAGAAGAAGAGCATCAGAGACTGCAGGACAGCTGGCACGGCAGACAGACCAAGCAGAATGTGCCACAGCTCGTGATTGCCCAGGATGAAGTCGAGGCCAATGATCTGAAAAGGCAGGAAGGAAGCCTATCAACTTCCCAACACTCTGAGTCTGCCTTCTGCAACAGTTTGTTGAATAAGTATATTGACTATTGAATAGTAATCCCTGAGAACTTTGATTCAAATAGTTCAAGATGAAAACTGTTACTATGGTGTCTCACCTTAACTAAATTAGGAACTATTTGTTTTACAAAGACTTCACCTGGGTTTGTTTACACGAACTCTTATGGAACATTTAGGATAGGAATCAACCAAACATTTGACAACATATTTGGTATTTCAAACAATACCCAAAGTCTTGCATTAGTTTTCACCTTTGTTTAAAAACATTCTTAGATTACTCAAAACTTAAGTAGAATGGGATTATATAGATGGAGCAATTACTCTGATGAGAACCAGCTTTGTGATCCCTATTGCAGAGGTTTGCCTTCTGGATAGTTGTAGTTTGGAGGTTCTCAGGACTCCCTCTGAGACCACAGGATAGAAGGGAAAGATAGAGCCAGGTGAACAAGAACTGGTCATCATTTACATATTAAATTTTCAAGTAAGACACTCAAAACAAAGGAAACCCAGACAGCCCAAAACTTGAAGATTCTTATTTCTTTAAATCAAAATGGAATAATTTAATATACAATAGCAACAGAAATTCAAGATTTGGCTTCTGGGTCACCTCTAGTGCAACCACAGCTCCAAGGGGGAAAAGTGAGGGCTGGAGTAGAAATAATTTAGCTTTGAGCTAAAAGCCTATGATTCTACACCACCTCCACTACCACTGGCGGGAGTTGTTTTGTTTTTTTCTTTTCTATGTAGGTCTACAGTGAGAATGGACAGTCAGGGAGAAAAAAGTTGTGTAAAGTAGAGGATGGATGAAGTCGGGAGTGGGGATTTTTACCTGACTAACAAGAATGCCCGTGACAATGGCCAGCTGGTGAAGAGCGCCAATAGCACCCCTGAGTGTGGTTGGTGCAATCTCACCAATGTACATTGGAACCAAGCCTGAGATTAGCCCTGCATAGAACATGAACATAAATGTTAATGTACAGCCAAGACTATCTCAGTAACACTAATTTGGCTTAATACAGTTACTATTCTGATGGAAAGTCCCTTCGTACGCCTATTGAAAGGAAGAAAACCCTTGTTCCCAAACATAGACACAGTTTATGAAAATAATATTTGTTGATAAGATTCCAAATAAAATTGTAGTTTGACATATGAATAGGAAGAAATGGTTAATCAAGTATCTGGCAATTATTTATAACGTTGCCTTAATTTAAAAATCCATATTAATATTGAGTTTACATCATAATGCATTCAGATGTCTTAAGTAAAGAGACTGAAGAATGTGATAATAATATTAAAAAATAATATTCTTCATTGAGACTCATGGATTGAAGGAATTAGAATGTGTCTAGACCAATGTCATCACTTGATTGAGCTGAGAAACGGCTGACCCAAGATCACAGTGCAGTCGAGTGTTAGCGTGAGAACTACGAGTCCTTGCTGAGTTTCCTCAGTGTGGAGGTACCTCAAGATCACACTGCTCCAGTGATGGGTGTTTGGAGAGGTGGAAAGGGTTAAGGAACTAAGGGGACCTTCCCCTAATTACTCCAGCCAGGGCCACCCAGCTTCTTCATTATTCTCTCCAAATAATAGTTTTCAGAAAAGATTTGATTTAAATAAAGACTTTGGGTGCTTAAAGGAATACAACAACTGAGAAGCACTAGGCCATTCTGCCTTCTATAATTTTCTTAAACGCAGACGTAATCAGTCATGTTGGACATGGTGGCGTTCCCAGCCATTTGCTGAGCCCAGGGAAAGGTCGGAGACTATCAATAAAGCAAGGCTGGACACAGCGTTTGTCATGTTCTTAAGAATTTAAAAATGAGATTTGTCAGAGACTTCCCGTTATAGACGCTGGCTGCCTATTGAGTGGAAATGGATGGCCCTTGTGTAAATGATACTTTCAGAAACTATTTCAATATGTGTTTTTAAAGCTTTACACTGTTCATAGTATTTCACATGAATATTTGCATGGTTGATACAGCATCTGAAATTCTGCTGACAATCTTTGTGTAATACCTACTATTACACCTCAGGAATAGAAGAGTGTAGGTAAACTCACAGGTCTCACATCCATGCACCTGAAGTCAAATTGCATTTTCTATCATTTTTAAAAATTACATTTTTAGTAACTGTGATGCTCAGAATAGGACCAGAACATAATTTTAATAGATGGTTGGAGAGTATAAGTATACTTGGCTGTGCTAGTGATAGGTTGCTTCACAATACATTTATAGCATATCTTTTCAATTTTACAAAAAAAATTTTGTATTTTTACTGCATTTAATTTTTTCTTTAATTTCAATGTATTAATGTTAGAAAATTTAAAACATAAGTTTTTCTTGAACCTTTTCAATGTACAAATGTTTTTCTATTAATCAGTCTTATGTATAACTTAATTAACTAAATTTTCTTAGAGATTTTAAACTGCATTTGTAAAGATAATGTATTTAATTTTTGACATTCAATATCATTTTATATTAGTTTCAGGTGTATAGCACAGTGGTCAGACAATTAAGTAATTTACAAAATGATCCCCTTGATGATTCTAGTTCCCACCTGGCACCATGCATAGTTGTTACATTAGTGACTACATTCCTTATGCTGTATTTTACATCTGTGACTATTTTGTAACTACCAAAATAGTACTTCTTAATTCCTTCATCTTTTTCACGCAGCCACTCCACGCAAAGCCCCTCCCCTCTGGCAGTCATCAGTCTGTTCTCAGTATCTGTGAGTCTGCTTCTGTTTTGTATATTCACTTATTTTGCTCTTCAGATTCCACATATAAATGATATCATATGGTATTTGTCTTTGTCTGAATGACTTATTTCACTCAGCACAATAACATCTAGGTCCATCCATGTCATTACAAATGACAAGATTTCATTGTTTTTTTTTTATGGCCAGGTAATAATATTCCATTGTATAGACACACCACATCTTTTTTTACCCAGTTGTCTATTGATGGGCACATGGGTTGCTTCCATATCTCAGCTATTGTAAATAATGCTACAATAAAAATAGGGGTGCATATATCTTTATGAATTAGTGTTTTAGATTTCTTTGGATAAACACCCAGAAGTGGAATCACTGGGTCGTAAGGCAGCTCTATTTTTACTATATTTTTTAAAATAGAGAAAAAAAGAAAGAAGAACCATGATTTGAACCTCTTTGATAAAGTTATTATTTGCATTTTTCAGAAGAGGAAACTGAGGCGCATATTCAGTGAGCACATCTAAGATCACACAGAGACAGTGCCGGAACTGATTCAGTGTGAATTCAAAGCTATTTTCACGTGTGGGTTGACTTTTCACTTCAATAAAGCTATCCTGGCTCTCAGTTATTTGTTTTAACATTGAAAATAATAAAAAGAGAAATTTAATGAAATAATTTTAGCCTTATTTTTCAACTGATCGTTGAAGATGCATGGAATTATAGTCTTTCCCCTTTGCAGGTAAAAACGTTATAAATACTTTATACACTATTTTGTGACCTTGCCCCTCCTCTCCTATCCCCAGTGAGGTTAGTGGTTTAACATCGCTACAGTTTGGGACAGTGGCTTAAAAACTCAGCCCAGAACTATTAGGGTATCACTGGTACTGAGAAGGTAAAGATTTGGCTGTTTTAGAGATTGTGTGATCCTCCCTTCGTTCAGGCCTCAGCTGATTAGTTGCTTCTGAAAGTTTGAAAAGTTGTTTCTCCCCACAAAATAAAATAAAATACAATAAATGGGACTACATAAAATTAAAAAGCTTTTGCCCAGCAAAGGAACCATCAACAAAATAAAAAGATAACCCACAGAATGAGTGAACAGATTTGCTGATACATCTGATAAAGGGTTAATATCCAAAATTTATAAGAAACTTATAAAACTCAATACCAAAAAAACAATCCAATTAAAATATAGGCCAAGGACCTGAACAGACACTTCTCCAAAGAGGACATACAGATGGCCAATAGACATATGAAAAGATGCTCAACGTCACTAATCATCAGAGAAATGCCAATTGAAACCACAATGAGATGTCGCCTCATACTGGTCGTAATGGCTATCATCCATAAATCAACAAGTATTGGTGAGGATGTGGTGAAAGGGGAACCTTTTTGTATTGTTGGTAGGAATGTAGACTGGTGCAGCCACTGTGAAAAGCAATGTGGGGATACCTCAAAAAAATTAAAAATAGCCCTGGCTGGTGTGGCTCAGTGGATTGAGTGGAGGTCTGTGAACTGAAAGGTTGCTGGTTCAGTTCCTGGTCAGGGCACATGCCTGAGTTGTGGACCAGGTTCCACCCTGGGGGCATGCAAGAGGCAACCAACTGAGATTTCTCTCACACATTGATGTTTCTCTCCATCTCTTTGTCCCTCCCTTTCTCTCTCTCTAAAAATAAATAAAACCTTTTTAAAAAATTAAAGATGATCTGCCTTTTGACTCAGCGATCCCACTTCTGGGAATACATCTGAAGAAACCCAAAACACTAATTCAAAAGAACATAAGCATCCCTATGTTCATGGCATCATTATTTACAATCGCCAAGATATGGAATCAGCCCGTTTCCATCAATGGATGAGTGGATAAAACAACTATGGGACATTTACACAATGGAATAGTACTTGGCTATAAAAAGGAAGAAAATTTTACCCTTTGCAACAGAATGGATGGACTTGGAGAACATTATGCTAAGTGAAATAAGCCAGTCAGAGAAAGATAAATACCGTATGTTCACTTACATGTGGAATCTAATGAACAAACTGAACTAACAAGCAAAACAGAGGCAGATTCATAGAGAACAGGCTGAAAGCTATGGCTCAGCGAGGGGAGGTTAGGTAGTAGAGGGACTGAACGAAAAGGAAAACAGACTCACAGACATAGACAACAGTGTGGTGATTGCAGGGGGGAGGAGGGTATAAGGGAGATAAATGGTAATTGAAAAAAAAACAATAAAACTGTATTATCACACAAAAAAAGAAAAGTTGTTTCCAAGACTGAATGATTCCAGTAATTCAGTTGTCAAGTTCATGGGAAGAGCATCCATCCTTCAGTCTGAGCTCTTCTACCAGCTGCTTCTTTCTGATTCCCTCTCCCTAGGGTCACTGCCACTTTACCCCTTCACCAGGCCAGGTCTGAAATCTGACAGGGCTAGGCAGTATGTTCTAAGAGGCGGGCCCAGTGTCAATGTCTTTCCAGATAGAAGAGACAGAGACATAGCGGCCAGGTAGGCCATTAGGGCCAAGTCAGAGTTCCTGGGTCGATCAGTCTTCCACTGTCTCCCGCACACCAGGATAACAGCAGTAGCTTGCATTCCTTGGCAGTTTACCACAGTCAGATTCTATGCCAAACATTTCACATGTATTCTCACAAGCACTCTGCAGGGTAGGTATTATTCCTCATCACTTACTAGATAAAGAAACTGAGAATTAAGAATTTATCTGTGGTCATATGATTAGCAATGTAGCCATGGGGAAGAAGACACAACTCCCACTTATGGATCCCAAACTTCCCTGACTCAGGAGTTAAACTTCATGCTACTGCCTACCCCTCTGTGATGCCACCTGAAGCTCAACATATTCCTTGCGTGCTACCACCTCTGCTGTTGGAATAATTTTCACGCGTGTGTGTGTATGTGTGTGAGACTTACCGCAGTACAGTCCTGATATACCTCTTCCTGAAATGATAAGGATGTGAGAAGGTCCCAGTTTCGAAAACCCCATCAAGAGCGCTCCTGTTAGTGAAAGAATGTTTGCTACCAACATGGCTTTGATTCTGAAATAAAAAGCAAGGATTATAAGTTCAGCGTCAAACCTTGATAAAATTTTTGCATTCAGAGCATGGTGAGAATTTTTTTTTACCTAAGAGATTACTTTAATTTTGCTGAAAATGCTAGTTGGGGGAATCTTAAACCATGATGGATACTTTGATTTCTACAAACTGAACCATTACCAGTAACTGATAAGTATAATGAGAGAAAGTGGATCTCATGCACCAGATCTTCATGTTTTGATGGAGATGATTCACTTGTGGTGATAACTAGTTTGAGTTATGATTAAACTCTGGCACTTTTTAAAAAAATAGTTAATGAATTCAATTTTCTATGAGTTGATTATTTTAAACAATTGCCTGGTGATAGTTAAATTCAATTCGTACTTGTGATCTGTGACGCCTTGCTTTTTTTTTTCATTCTTTAGAACAAGTTTTTACTTGATGTAGATCATGAAAGGAACTTTTAAAGTTAAGTTTTCATATTTATGAATTATTTTGAAGGAAATTAAGACACACTTTTACTTTCAGCCTTATTATAACCAAAAGCAGGTGTGGCCGCCTGCCTCTACGAAAGCTAATACTTAAGAGGCAGGTGCTAATGTAGAGGAAAGTAGTTTATCTGCAGATGCTGGGATCTGGAAGACGGGGGGTGGCCCTTACCTCTCAGAGCTCATCTCCCCATCTCAGTGGAGGCAGAGTTTTTTAAAAGGAGGGAAAAGGGAACAGAACAAAGAAAAAGTTCAAGGGAGGGGGTTGAAAAGTTCTCTACATGCAGATGAGCACAGTGCAGTCGGATAAGGCAAGTGATGGTCTGGTGTGCCTCATCCTAGTTTAGCCATCCTGGATTCATGTCATCCTGACCACACGTCTCCTGGCTCCACGGCTGACGGTCAACAAGGAACCCAGAACTGGCATGCCTGAAGGTCGAGGTCTGTATCTTTCGAAGTTAGTTCCTAGGCTTCTTATACAGACATGCCGTTCATCTACAAGCTGCCTATCAGTCAGAGTCGGCACTTACAGACAAAACGTCAGAAGAGTGGTGGGGTGGGTAACAAGTTCCATGACTGTTTTCCACTGTTACAAATCTCCACTGTCAATTTTTCTTCCATTTCTATGGAGTTAGATGGTTGTACCCAAAACATTTAAGAAAACTAGAAAAATTTAGGGCCCAGTCTTGTTTAGAGATAAAAAATAAAATTTTACAGAAAATTCATTGAATTGGAGTCTAATTTCCATAGTTGTGCATTATAGATTTTGTTGAAACAATTTTTCTCCTAAAGTCACCCTCATTTTTATCAAAGTCAAATCAAGTCCAATTCATTTACTTACTATGTTAAGTGCTGTTTCAGTTTGGCTGATTGTGTTTTGGCATAAACACAACAAGAATAACAATTGATTATATAGACTTTCTCAAATATACTTTGCTGGAATAAATGTCATAAGGAATTTCAAGACTGAACTTTAATTAACCTTTCGGGGCAAAGAAACCAAGCCACACAGTTGATGTGAGACTTTGTAATACCTGCAGTTTTGGGTAAACTTATCAAGTTCTCCAGGTCTCCAAAATGTCTTGAGGTTCTTTTCTTGTCATCCCCTAGGAAAGCAACCTTCGCTCCTTACCTGGGAAGACTACCATGAACCATATGAATAAGTAAAGTGCCAGGCTGTCTCTCTAAGTGGCTTTTACCAGCTCTAAAGTCAATCTTTATTCCTTAAAGGTTTTTGCTGACATCCCAAGTCTAGGCATATCTCTTTCAGACATGACATTCCAGTAAAAGTTTTGGCTAATAAATCCACATTTGGAAACTGGAAGAAATCAGATTTCTATTGGACTTATGCACATAAACATATTGCCATAAACATTATAATTCTCACTCATTAAGACTTTCCAAATTCTGGAGGGATCAAGTAAGGAGAAAAATATAAATGCTTCAATATTGCTCCAGTTTACCAAATTTCTCTATGAAGACAAATAAATTTTTAAAAAATCAACAATATTTGGAACAAAGTCACAAGAACAGTAATTATTTTTAGTTCATTCAGTTCCACAATCAACTCCTGTGTAATCCCATTATCAGCCAGTATCTCTACAAGTTCAGTCATTCCCCAGAGTCCCACAAATCCCCATCTATTTCAAGGGTAGGATCTCAAATTTATTCTCAGAAACTCATATTTTAGAATAAGTCAGAAGGTGCAACATTTTTGCAAATGCACAAGGGTAAAACAATGACTGTCTCTAAATGACATTTCTAAATGACATGATTATAATGCAATTGACAAAGGAATGTGCCGCTCCTTTTGCCATTTTTTGGTAACAAAATTTTAAGATAACAATCAAATTACAAATGAAAGCATATCAGACCAAAGAATCAATTAATTTGTTCCCCACTGTTTAATTGTACCTGGGGTTTCTGTTGATAAATAACAATTGGTTTTGGAAAATCGAAGGGAGCCTTCGGCTTTTTCATTTCTCATTCAAATGATCACTTTGCTTTACCATTTTTCTGTGTGCCTTTCCCTTTTTTCTTATTTCTTTTTTTCCCATTTCCATTTCTCTTCTTGAGTTTCCTACTTCAAAGTCCTTTCTTCCTGTCTGTCCCGTTCCTTTATCCTTTCTCAGCTGTGTTCACTTCCTTAATTCCTTCTCTTTTTGTTTTTCCCCTCTACCAGGGGTGTCCAACCTTTTGGCATTTCTGGGCCACACTGGAAGAAGAAGACTTGTCTTGGGCCACACATAAAATACACAAACACTAACAAAAACTGATGAGCAAAAAAAAAAAAGTTTTAAAGTAAATTTACGATTTTATGTTGGGTCATGAATGTCCATAGGCATTCTGGGTCACATGCGGCCCATGGGCCCTGGGTTGGGCACCCTGCTACACAATCCTTCTTCAACTTGCACAGCCCCTCTGTGACTTACACAGACCCTCTTCAGCTTAGATAGAACTTCTGCTACTTACACGTTCCTGCTTCAATGCTTCTAGCCCATTTCAGTTTGCCCTTTTAACTCATCCAGACTCAACCAACTTTAGAATAACCCACATTTGATTCTATTTTTTTAAGATATATTGCCATAATTTATACCTTTCATTACCAAAACCATGTATTTTCTCCAAATTTAATTAAAATTCTTAGTTTTTAGTGACAATTAAAAGTAAGTAATAAGCATGCTTTAGATTGACAAATTTATGAACACATTTAATAACTTTCAGAAACAGTTTTTTCCCCACTGGCAAATACATTTACATTTTTTACTCTTGGTGATTACTGCATTCCTTGAGTGTGCTCAAAAGCGAGCTGTCTTCTTATCTAGTGCCCTTGAAAACTTTAGGGAGGCTGGAGAAGAGGGAAGGAGGAGACACCAGGCGTGGCATGGCCTGTTCCCAAGACCGAAGCAGCCCCTAGGCCTCCAGAAGGTGGATCCAGAGTGTTTGAAAGACACATTTTTTTCATTGTTTTGCTTCCTGAGCTTTTTACTGTCTGAGGAGGGAGTGAGATCTTTTTCCCTCTTTAAACAATCAATTTAAATTCCTTCTGAATAGAATCCTTATGGTGTAACAATATTAGAGCTCTTATTCTACTTACCAGAGGCTTAGTAAACATTTCAAGACTGAGACTAGCCCATTCCTTTCAAAACAGAAACAAAATAAAGCAAAGACAAAATTCAAGCAAACTAGTATTCCCAAATTAAGTCCTCTAAAAGGAGGAAATGAGACACTAGCTTTAGAGTCTTATCTCATACCACCTGGTACTACAAATGACCCTGACAAGATCCAAATGACATGAAGCCCAAATAGCAGAGCCATTATCTAATACCAACTGGTACCACAAATACACAAAAGCCCAAACAGCAGAGACACTATCTCACATCAATTGGTACAGTGAATAACTGTTAAAGGCCCAAATGGCACAGCCCGAACAGCAGAGGCAGAAGATTCTGGGGGTATACAAGACAGCAAAGATCCAACCAAGTTTCCCAAAAGATAAGAAAACAAGCAAAGAATGACTGTAACCAAGATAAACAGAGGAGTGCTCTCAAACTGAAACTGACTTCCTTCTGCCCAGGAACAGAGAAACAAAACTAACAGATAATTAGAAAGCAGTATGATTCCCATGCAAATTTCTCTGAACAATAATATTCCAAATAAAAAACACAACTATTAAGACTGGAGTCCATTAACTCTCCAGCTGGAACCTGTCAACTCCCCAGAGACTTATTTCATTTCATCAGCGAAGCGTTTAAAGGCGTCTGATGGCCTTGAGAGGGAGAACAGAGAGAGTTCCTGAGATAAAGAACTGGGGGACTTCTGCAATCCCTACCATGGGGTCAGCCTGCCACAAGCACCTGGGACCCCTCCAGCCCTTACTGGGGTCCACATAGTCCCATCTGCATCACCAGATGCAGAAAGCAGGTCCAGAGCTGCCTGCCTCTATGAAAGCTAATACTCAAGAGGCAGGTGCTGATGTAAAGGAAAGTGATTATTTGCAGATGCTGGCCACCTGGAAGATGGAGGACTCATGTCTCAAAGCCCATCTCCATCTCTCAGTAGAGGCAGAGGTTTTTAAAAGGAGGCAAAGGGAGACACAACAAAGAAAGAGATTGAAGGAGGGAGCTGAAAGTTCTCTATTCAGCACAGTCCATTCTGGTAAGGCAAGTGATGGTCCGGTGTGCACCATCCTGGTTTAGTCATCCTGGCTTCATGTCATCCTGGCTCCACGGTTGAAGGTCAGCAGATGTCCTAGCACCAGATTTCCTGAAGGTTGGGGTCTGTATCTTTTGAAATTAGTTCCTATGCTTCTTGTACAAACACGCTGTTCGTCTACAAGCTACATATTAGAGTCGGCACTTATAGAAACAATGTCAAAAGAATGGTGGGGTGGGTTACAACTCTCCATCACAATTTTTCAATAAATGTTATCATAGAGAGTTATAATTATTCTTATTTTAAAATTGTATGTCAGCATATTTTCAGAATCCATGAATTAATGTTAACTTATGTAAAATGTGTAAAACAGCTGACCACAGCAATAAAAACATTTTTGAAATTAATCATATGAAATTTGACATTTTAAGATATTTATTCCTAATAAATGAAAAGTGAGGTACAAAGAAACCTCCTTCAAAGTAGATGATGATAAGGTCAGTGAAATAATCTGAGTGGACAGGCATGGAAATGTGTGTGCTACAAAGAATGTAAGCGTCTTGTCCTGTTCTCTTTTAATGTTTAAAAGACTTTAAAAGACTTTAAAAAGTGAGTTTTCCTAAGCAAGTATCTTTAACACCAAACACTTTTTTGAGAGTAAAACTATGAAATTTCATACTGCAATGATTGCCCAACACCCATGAGATAGACGGAATAATAACATCCCTCTATACTCCGCAAACTAATCCTCATACCCTGGGAATAAGTCACAATATAAGATAAAATGGCTTTTCTAGATGTGATTGAATTAAGGATCTTGAGCTGGAGAAATGATCCTGGATTATGCAGGTGGGCCCAACTATGTAATCACAGGGTCCTTGTGAGAGGAGGGCAGGAGAGAAGGCGATATGATGATGACAGCAGAGAGTGGACTCATGTGCTTCGAAAGTAGAGGAAGGACCCCAAGCCCAGGGCTATGGAAGCTGGACAAGAGCAAGGAAATGGATTCCTCCCTCCAAACCTCCAGAAGGAACCGGCCCTGCTGATACCTTGACTTCAGCCAAGTGAAACTGAACTTGGGCTTCTGACCTCCACAACTGCGAGGAAATAAGTGTGTGTTGTTGTTTCAAGGCACTAAGTGTGTGGTAAGTCATTGGAGTGGTGATGTGTGGGAATTACCGGCTACTCAAAGGCAGGGGAACCAGTGACTCAGAGCTGGTCAGCTTTAGAGCTGCAGACCAGAAAACAGGTTTTCTCTGGGAAGTGCTCTTTCTCTACACGAGGAGAGAGGGCAGGAAATACAATAAGTTATATTTAAAAATTGTTTCTAGCTAGTTCATAGTCTATTTTACTTGTCAGAGTTGGGATAGATTTTAAAAAAGCCCTAAAGGAGAGAACCTGGAAGTATTTTTGATACCAAATTGCTCTAAAGTCCCTCTTCCTTACCACCACTGGATACTGGAGCACTTTATACAACTTAAAGGATTTTAACTTCTGCTCAGATGTGGGAAATGGCCAAGAAAAATAATCTAAAAGTACTTGAAATGGTTGAATCAAGAAGGAAGTATATTTCTTTAAATCTTGCTCTAAATACTGTTAGCAGGGGCTTCATCATTGCCATTGCTGTTCTCACCATCATCATCGTCAAAGTAAGTCTGCATTTGCTGCCTGCTTCCTCTGCACCAGGCGTCTGCTAAACCCTTTACATTCCTTCTCTTTCAGTACTCACAACAATGCCACAAGGTAGGGGTCCCCCTCCCAACCCCGCCCGATCACATTGCAGATGGGAAGAAAACGTCTTAGAGAACTTAGGTAACTTGCTCATTTTCACATAACTATTAAGTGACAGAGCTGAGACTTGATCTGTGTGAAACCAAAGGGTAATGCTTCATTTTAGTGAATTTCCTTTTTCCATACAAAAGAAAGAAAGCATTCTGAGGTAGTGCGGATTGCACAGACTGTGGTCACCCTGTCACACTCTTGCAATTAAATTGTAAACCCATAGCCTTGGAAAACTCCATCCTGAGAACCCAAACTGAAAAATAATGCCCACAGATATCTACTGGCTATTATACAAGTAAAAGCAGTAATGGAAAAATACATTTTCATTTATTTACTTCTAACTGGTGAAGTTATGACCCTGGCAATAAGGAAAATCATGCCATTTCTGAGCAAATCACCCCTAGAAAAACAATTTTATAGGAGAGACTAAATTCTTTTATGTTAATTTTTAAGTTAAAATTATTAATTTTATGGCTGTTTCTCATGGAGAATCATTTTTCCACTGAGACCTGGAGGAAGCCTCACTTTTAGTCATTTGATAATTGGTCATTTGACATTGTTTTGGGGTGTGACCAGTGCTAGTGTTAACTCCTAAGAGTTGAGAGGACATAAATCCTAGTTCCGTCACTAGGACACTGAACGTTTCAAATTAAGTTACTGGACCTCTCAGGTCCTTGTTCCTAAATGAGAGACAGCAAGGGCTGACATTTCTTCTCGGGGATGGGAAGAAGTATAAAACATCAGTACCTGCTAAAAGACTTAGCTTGTCCATACTTAAACTTTTTATTTAATTTTGATTAATTTTATTTTAAAAAATAATCTAGAAAAATTTCCAGTTACTGGTTATTGTTTAAACCAATTTGGTACAAAATAAAATGATTTAGATTCTTTTATGATAAGAGTCAGTTTATTAACTCTGTAATTTATGGATTCCCATTTAAAGTTCAGCTAAACTCCAGTAAGTTGATAAAAATATGAGGAACTGATCATTTTTTCTTTTATGGTAGAGAAAAGTCCCTTTCAAATAAAAAAAAAGAATAAAGCTTGGGTTCCCATGCCACTGCCTATTACTTAAGAAAATTTCTTACAGTTTTATTATAGAACTCTAGTTCTAAAACTCTAGCATAAGAGAAAAAAGTTATCAGAATTTTATAATCAGAGGTATAAAATTATAATTTAAAGTAGGAATTTCAAAAACTAAATAAAGTGTGATCCAGAATTACTCAGACAGTTATATCTTAGCCTATATCACTTACATTTTTAAAGGTTTCTGAATTTTCTAAATTTTATGTCTTTTTCATCACCAGAAAAAGGTAACTAATAAACAAAAGGTGGACTTAATGAGCAGAAAACACATTAAAGAAATAATCACTTGATTTTCTAACTTTATTTTTTTCCTCTTTATGGGAGCGGAGGGGATCCCAAGAGCTTTAGTATATCACATGACTGAGTAAAATTTGGGTGTAGAGGAGTTCCACTGATGTTTTTAGTCTGAAACACCTCATAGAAACCAGAATAGAGAAATGGAGACACCACTGGATTCATCTTTGGTTGGGGTTTGAAATAGCAGTAACAGTAGCTATAAACCCCATGCCAAGTGTCTCGGCAGTTGGGGGCTGGGGAATGTTAACTTGATCTTAGCACCTGACTGCTCCAAATGCCAAGTTCTAATTTGAAGAGGAAAAACTGGGTGTCTGAGAAATGGAGCGATTTGGTGAAGCAAACAATGGACTCCCTGGTTAAAAAATTTTACCCTTGGTTCTTCCACTGTGCTCCTGAGTTAATCATTTGTTTGGTAGTTTCTTAGTATATGTTATGACTTAGAAACCAAGAACCAAGGCAGTATTCCACCAAACTTACTTTTTTTGTAAGTGCCTCCACAATTAAGCAGATTGGTGCAACAGCTTTTTCCATTACTTGGTTCAACACCAACCTAACTCATAGGGTCACACATTGAAAAAATAACTGTGAAACTATTCCACACAAGAAAAGATGATTTCTATCTAAGCCAATTCTAATAAACCCAAAATACTAATGTTTCTGTGCTTATGCTTATTTGTTGTTGGGAACCACCCTGCCTGGTATCAGAAGCTGTAACCCCCACCAAGGCTAAGGCTGAGGGAATGACCTTGGACCATAAGCCACCAAGGAGACAAAAGCTTATCTCCCTGGCAGGAGCACTGCTTCTGCTCATTTTACTTCACCCTGCCTGGCCCCCAGTGCATGATTGGTTAGCCAATGATGGGTAAGATTCCCCAGGGGGGGAACAATCTAAGACAGGCATGATCACGTGGGAGGACCCTAAGGAAGGACTTTGGGGGCTACAGCAAAATGGGGTGATAGACCCTCACCTCTCGGCTTTGACATAGCCTGAGTCCTCATTGTCTGCAAAAAAATCTCCTAATCTCTTGGCTGCCTTACTTCCCTTGCTCCACCTAAGCCTGAAACAATGACAGAAGGTGGTGCAGCCCTGTGCTGGAAAGGGCAGGTTCCCTGGGTGATCAGGCCTAAGAAAGAATATGTAAAATCCTGTGAAACCTGCTTTGTTTAGAATGCTCTCAATTGAATGATAAGGGTCCAAGGAAGAAGTAAGTTTGCTCCTTAAAGTTTTTTACAGTTCTTTGACCCTGACTCAAAATAGGCCCTCAGACTTCCTTGTTATCTATTGTTTGATCCTTACTTCCTAGCAATGAGTAATGAGCTTTACCTGAATTCTTATGCAAATGAACCCAATAAAAGCTTGCTCAGGCGGAGAACGAGGTTCTCTCCCTTAGGGGTTCTCTCCCCTAGGGAGGGTGGCCATGGCGCTCCCCACTAGAGAGAGTGGCCATTCCTTTCCTACTTCCCCACAGGACCTGGTTGTCTCTGTGTATGTTTTTCTCGTGTTTCGACGAGCCATCCGCAGAGTTCTGCGGTCACTGCCAGTCGGTGATCGCGTCAGTTTGTGAAATTTGCCTACCTTCCAAGCTGGTCCCCTAGCCACCCTCCGAAGAATGATGCGATCATTCCACCAACTGCAAAGCTGGACACAGACAGGGACCAGAACATGGTGATGAGGCCAGAAGATGTCACAGGCTCTTCTTCAGCCCAGGGGGTTGGTGTTGAAGTTAGGAAGTATGGAGTGGTAGGCAGTCCCTCTGTACTGTCAATAGCATCATTGTTGATAGCTTTTCGGTCGTCCAGTGGCATATCCAAAACATATCTATAATGGGCTATTATTACCTGAAGAAATAAAATAAAAAAATAACTCCAGCATTTCAAACACTTTACATATTTTTATGTTTTTTTCTTTTTAGAAAATTTTAATTTAAATATTTTATTGTTTATGCTATTATAGTTGTGTCAGTTATTTTCCCTTTGCTCCCCTCTACCCAGCCCGCCCCCCACTCCCACAGCCCTTCCCCACACTGTTCACGTCTGTGGGTCACGCATACACGTTCTGTGACTAATCCCTTCATCTTCTCTCAGCCAGTCCCCCCCGCCCCTCCCCTCTTACAGCTGTCAGCCTGCTCCATGTTTCTATGCCTCTGGTTCTATGTTGCCTGTTACTTTTTTTTCTTTAAAGTACTTGTTAGGTGTTTAAACAGGATTGTCTCAATTATGTGCCTTCCACACATACAAACACTTGTAGATTTATTTATAGTTGACCATATCCTATAAAACAGAGGTCACAGATTCCGGTGCCAACAGGAAGCAAGCAGGAACAGATAAAGGAGGAGAACCTTGATGACAGGACTGAAATGCCTTCTTTACTGTTGAGGGTGTAACAGCGAGTGAGCAGGACCGTGGCACTGGAGGGAATTCATCCCCTCTGAAGGAGGAAGCTGCAAACCTGAGACTAGTGTTGATGACCTTTCATTTTTAAAAAGAAGCTGGAAATACGGGTTTTTATGTAAAAATTTTCAAGTTGTAAGTGTTGTCTACTATTCAAATTGAAAATATTCTGCAGGCTAAAAAGATACATTTCCATACCAGTGTTACCCTTACACAACAGGATTTAAATTGACTTATATAAATATTGTAATGGAAACATAAAAGTGATATTTAAAAAATTTGGGAAAGATGAGACCTGAAATAAAGTCATTTTACAAAATTCAAACACTAGGTGCTATATCCTTGCTAGAAGTGAGCTATAATTTAGCAATAAAACTTCCTGGCAGCTGATGGGTAGAGAGGAAAATGGTCATATTTGCTGATGAATTCCAAAGATTAAAAATACTCAGTGGCCCCCGAGAAGATGTTGAGACCTACGGCTCCTCATCAAGTTCAGTGTGTAATAGAATGAACAATATTCAAAACTAAACTTCACAGAGCCATACTTTATAATGTGTTTCAGTAGAGGCAAAGATCATATGAAAGTATGATGGAGAAAAGGCACATCCTTCAGGCTCTCTTCCTGAGAGCCTGTCATTTCTCTCAATGGCAACTTGGTCATTATTCAGCAGCCGTGGTCAGGGAGGACCTTTGACAAGCACGTGGAATGCAGCTGCCCTACTGCCCTAGGCTGCCGGTGATGGGTGAAGGACTCCTTGGGAAAGTCAGCTGAGTGAGGGAAAGAATTGACATCCTCTTATGATAAAAGAAGTCGGACCAAGACATTTCCCTCATTCAAAGGTCACACTCTATGGATAATGTACTCGGACATAGAAAAGCGGCTGTAAGGAAAATACCCAAAATGTTCTCAGCAGTCTGCTCCATGTGATAGAATAATTATAGGTGACTTTTTTCTAATACTTTCTGCAACAGACATGTGTAGTTTTTCATAATCATAGAAAATGTGATTTATACATACCTTAAAACAGTCCTAAATGTCATTCTGCTAATAAAAAGAAATGGGCCTGACTATTATAATGTAACAGCGTTTAAAGGAAGGGGTTACAGAGAAGGCACTAAGCCCAATGTCACTGGGGAATCACCGCCTTCAGGTCTGGACCTAGGACTGTGATCGAAGGAGAGGAAGCCTTAGATTAAGTTTCCCTCTAAGACTAGAAAGGATGCTTTAAGTGAGGATTTGAAACAGTCTTCCAAAAAAAGAGGTCCTGCCAATTACAGTGATATTGAGCCAAATTTCAGAAAACCTGCTAAACTGGCACATGTTGCCATCACCCACAAAAAAAGATATCCCCTCCCCCAGTGTTATTTCCTAAATCTTCCAACCTCAGCGAGGTCTGCCAGTCATGAGACACATGGCACTTGACCAGAGCATAGCTGTTGGTCCAAGGAGCAACTCAATTCAGGGGATGAACTGACTGGTGAGCACACATTTCACATGCTCACACCCTGTGAGATCTTACATTTTCTTTGGAGTCTAATGTTGGAAAAGAAGCAGATAAAAATATGATTGATTTGCAGAAGGTGCCCAACAGAAGTCTGTATTTTCATCTTTGCCAGCCTCCCCCCACCCCCACCAGCTCTCATTCTCTCTCTCTCCTTCACTAAACACTTGATTGAACTTCTTTATACCCATCATTGTGCTTGGCCTTGGTGATAGGAAGAGGAACAAGACATCAATCCCATACCAAGTGACCTGACAGTGTGAATTAGGGCAGTGGGACTCAGGTCCTGGCTCCTCCCACTCAATTTCAGGCTGTGAGAGCTGAGAAAAATGACATCTCTCTCCTGTCTGTTCACTGGGTACCAGAGTAGGGATGCATAAAATAAATGAGAAAAATGATGGAAATTATTTGATACTTTTATAAATACCCATCCAAATGGTCATCATGGGGAAAATCGATGTATTGTGGAACTTCTTGACCATTATTTAAGTTTTGTATTATTTTACGTCAAAGCACCTATAGAAGACAGGAATGCAGAGGACTAGAATCTCTTCTAGTGTTAATGCTGCTAAAGGTTTTAATGTGGCCTAGAAATGAGTATAGGACTATTGGGAGGGTCAAACTGGGGAGATCATATGTTAAAACTCTATGCACAGTGAGTTGGTATTCAATAGATGTTTGTGCACAGAATGAAACATACCCTTCTAGAGTTTCCTCCCGTTCCCTGGCATTGACCTTAGTATACAGCTGAGAGATCTGAATGAATGCTGCCATAAGCTATTAACTTTTAAAAAAATATCCTAAGGCACATGGTATTCTGGTTAAAGGTTTTTTTTTTTTCTTGTGGGTTTAGCAAAAAGCAAAGATCAATAATTAATTATTGCTCTTTATATTCTTCTGAAGATTATGAAGTGAAGAGGAGTCAAAGCCAAGTTACAGGCTCTGGAACCATGCACACTATCCCTGAAAGAAGGCTGGGATGACCTCATGTTCCCCGCATGGGCGCACTTTATTTCTTCACATGAGAAACAGATATCTTTCTGATATTGACAGAAATTTCCAGAAAGAGGTTTGAATTGTGCATGTGTCACTTGCCTGTTGAGGGGCATTGATCACACCAAGGTCATATCCAAACTGGAAGGAACCCAGCACGGCAGTGAGGACAGTGAAAACCAAGGTCCCGGTGATCTGTAGGGAATGAAACACAGGGCCGGGAAATGCCAGGCAAGTTCAGTCACCCATCTCCCATCACGCCACAGCTCGGACTTCTGACAGGCTCCACGGTCTGGTTCTCATGCCTTGATACTCACAGTGAGCCCTATGCCCCTGGCAGAGTCATTTATACCAGAATGGGAGAGCCATTCATTACTTCTCTTACACTGCTGAAGATGAAAAGAGTTAGTACTCTTCTTCCAGGGCTGGAATCAAAAGTGTGTGTGTGTGTGTGCACGCGTGTGCGTGTACAGGGTCCAGCACAAATTACACCCCTTTTTATTACAAATATTTTATTACAAAATCATGAACAGGTAATTCTGTAACATAAAAATATCACACTCAAGCACACCATATGATATTTCAGGTGAAATGTTCAAATTAAAACTGTAAGTTATTACATCCATATTATTACCCTGTCAGCCACATTCAAGCAGGCCTTACTTCTGCCGGACCCTGTATATATGTACTTGATTCCAAATCAGAATTGAGAACTGGAATCATTACTGACTGAAGGAAACTGCTAAGACAAAAACATTCCATCATGGAGAGAAAGGAAATAAGGCACCAATAACAAAGAGACAGGGAGCTCCTGGACATGGCTACGGCACAAAAGTACCTCAGAACTTATACAAGGGGCTCGACCAGTCTTTGTAATGATCCACATCATTATCCAGGTAGTACGTTCAGGATTTTCTTCTAGTTGAACCTAGAGTTGTGGGTTCAGGGATATTATTTTCCCTGCAACTCCCTGTAGCTACAAAAACAAATACAAATGTAGAAAGGGGCAGAACATTTATCCTTTTCAGCACATAATTACACATCTAACCATTTAAGAGAAATCATATCATGCACACAGAGTCACGTATAAGGATATCTGATGCAGCATTTTGTGTGTATGTGTTTGTATGTGACAGCAAAAATTATGGAAAGAACGTAAGGTCATTCAGTGATAAATGGTCAAATAGATTCAAATACATCACAATATATATACACCAGATACATACAACATGCCATGCAGCAGTTAAAAAGAATAATGTGATCATGCACTGACATCGTTAATGACAAAGGAAGTTGTGTACTGTCACTAACGTTTTTCAAAGGCTTAAATCTGAGTAATCTTTGATTTATGCATGTTGTATACAATTCATAGAATATACATTTTTCTCATTTTAGAGTTTTTTTTATTGAAAAACTGAGGGTATATCAAATAAAACCAATTTTCGGGGGGAAAAAATAAAAATCCACAATAGCAGAACCAGACAATATATTCTTTTAATTGGAAAAATTCTAGGTGCCTCCTAATTGACCTTTTGATACAAAATGACCTATTAAATTTGCAGTTTGTGGTTTTTGGTGTTGAGGTCCATAGAACAAACTAGGAAATGTTTAAACCTTGAGCTGAATTCCATGAGGGGTTCTTTGGCTTTTGAATTGGTTATTTTCTTGCCTAACAGGTAGTAGCAGCAATAGCACCCACCTCTGGGCAGCTTCTTTCCTGGCATGATAAGCCTATAGAACCACCCCAGCTTCATCCACCTCGGAGCAGAGGGACTCAGAGGACTCCAGCGCATGCAGTTGCTGCAGTGGTGCATCTCTGGCAGCATTCCTGTAATCTTTCTGGCCAGGTTTTCATGCATGGTTTGGGTAAGTGGGAACAAACATTCTCCCAGCATCTGCTTCTGTTCCTGGAAGGGTGCTGTGGCCAGCATGGAGGTAGTCAGGCACTCCTGCCCCTGTATATGAACTGCAGGCTGATGCAAAAATGGAATGGTAGGGTGAAGGCTGTGGACACCAGAGGCGTACTTGTACGGTGCAATAGCCCAAGGGGCAGCAGCAGCCACAGGAGCACGAGATGGTAAGTTCTGCACAGCTGTGTTAACACCTCCAGACTGGCAATTGTCAGTCAGCTCTTGTTGGGCAGCACCAGCCCCAACAAAGTCCATAGCCAGGTGGTCCAGGCACTCAGAACCAACTTTCTGAGCAGAAGTAGGGAGGCCACGAGAGGCCTGAGCATTACAGTTGGAGCCAGAGGGTAAGGAGTTGGATGACGCCCAGACTGGCGTGTAGCACTAGGCATTCCTTGGAAGCTGTGAGGTCTCCACCTTGCTGCCAGCATGGATTGGGCCTCATCTATGCCAACTGGTTAAGTGTGTAATACAGAGGTCTTCCCTGAGCCTATAGAACTGCTAGCACAAAGCAGCCGCCAGCTATAGGCTGGAACTGATTTAAGATGGCATTGGCAGGCAGTGCTCTCATTCCAGCCAACCACTGCATATGCTGGTTGGTCAGGGAAGCCTTTCACTCTTCCTTCCTCTGGGTCAGAGAGACATACAGTGGCTTGGAGCCCACGGTGCATCTGTTCGTCTCAGTGACTGCTTTGGTTGCCTCTTCAGGAGATGAGAAGCATTATTTAGCACTGGTGATGGTTCTGAAAGGAGAAAACTCTTAACTTACCATCAGTGGTGTCATCCAAGTTCTTATTGTAAGGATCCACCCTTGATATTGACTAATTCTCTCTTGTTTCAGCTGTTCAAATATCTGTTTTAATTCAGTCTACCATTCTACTTTTCATGGCTACAAAAATGACCTTCCCACTGATTTCTTTTCCATTCATCTCTTCCATGCCTTATTGGCATCCTTGTGTTTTTCATAACTCACAGAGCCAAAGCCTTTGCACTTCCCACTGGGATCTCTCATCACCTTGACACTGAGGGTCTTAACAAACTGACTAAACAGCACCTCTAGATTCTCATCATCCGTTCTTCCCCAAAGTCTTTGATATACCCACTGGTGAACTCCTTGGCCTTGGCTTCAGGTCAGCTTCCCACTCTCTTAGAGACTTGAATCTGCCCAGGAACACTTTGTAGTCATTGAGGAGCACGGCATTCATCTTCTGGGCCTTGTCTGCAGCCCCTTGGGTACAGTAGTGAACAAAGGTGTAACCCTCAGAACCATTCTTCTCACACACCACCTTGCAGGACAGAATGTTTCCAAAAGCAGAAGAAGCATCATAAAGTGCCTTGTTATCTATAGATTTGTCTAGGCTCTTGATTACGATGTTTCTCACCCCAGATTTTCTCAAAGAGGGGTCCTTCTGAGACCAAACGAAGCGAATTGGCTTTCCCTTAGTCACATCCAAGTTCACGGTATCCAAGGCCTGCTCAGTGCCAGCCAGCTTTTGGAAGTTGGCCTAGGCAGAACCGAGGCAGTGGCTACTGATCCTTTTGCAGCGGACCCTGATGGACAGCACAGGCCCTGCTGGGCTGAACTTTTCTTTCAACATGGCCTTGGTGCCATCCAAGTGCAGGTCACCCACGTAGAGGGAGGCCATGGGGTCACAACTGGCGGCAGCCTTCATCTCCCTGCTCTCGCCACCCTGAACCTAGCCAGGAGGACTTCTCATAGGCACCACACAGGACAAATGGGCTCTTCACAGAGCCCCGGCCCGTGCCCACGTTGTGGCTCGCAGGTGGCAGAGTGACACCGTGGAGAAGCTGGAGTTGGCTCCGAAGCAGGAGGGGACAGAGGATTCCTGGACCTGTTGTTCAAGACTGCAAGACTGCAGACAAAAGGCAAAAGCAACACGGCTGTTGCCGAGAGTTTGTCATTTTCGGCTGTCCTGGTCTGAAGCTCCACATTTCAAAAACAGATTTATTAAAATGGAGACTTCCATTCAAATTATAAAAATTCTTAAAGAGGCAACCGAATGGTACCCACTCAGCCCCTGGGACACACATCTCTCTCTCTATAGGCCTCGGGATCCTGATGGTTTCCCGTTACAGCAGCCAGGAAAGAGGGATACAAAATATTTGAGAGTTCCGACTGGCCAGCTGCAAAGGGCAGCACGGATGTGTGGTTGGCGGGGAGGCTGGTGCCTGGGGCTTTCACGGCCTGCTGGACCAGAGGTGTGTGGACGCAGGCCACTCACGCCCTGACCACCAGGCGGGACTGACTGACACCCAGGTGCGGCAGTGGCGGCGGTGGCATTGGGCGGGCGCAGGCCAGCTGGAAGCGTACGAAATGACTTTCCCAGGGTTTTCCAGAAAAGATTAGCCTTTTCTTTCTCTTTTCGTTTATTTTTTTTCTCATGTTTTAAGAGTTTTCGGGTTTTAAAAAGACTTTATCTCTTTTTTTCTTCAGGCTGCTGGGCCCAAAAGTGGCAGAAGCCTGCAGCCACTGGGGTGGAGAGAACTATAGAATATTTTCTTGAAAAACAAAAGAGAGGATAATGTTTGAGGAGAAAAGTGAGATTGCAGAAGAGGAGTAAAGGAGTATTTTTTCTTTTATTTATATTATTAGACATTTAATAAGGAAATGATTTCATGTATAATTACATAATTTAAAATTTTTAAATAACATAGAATACAGTTATCGCAACATGAATTCCAGTTTCCATTTGGATACTTAGCAGGTATGTGACCCAAACCATTTCCCCAATAGGAGCTTCAGTTTTTATCTATATTGAGGGATCATTGTAAATTCCCCTACCCTGGCATAAAAATAGCTAATTAACCAGTACCCTTCATTGCCCAATCAGTCTGGAGACCAGAAATGTTGGGTCATCAACCGAATGTTATTACAGAACCACTGTGAGAGCCCTGGGAGTTAGTCCAGAGGCTCTAAAACCAGACCCTACTTGGAGAGCAAGTCATATGTTCAGCTCCCTGGCCTCAGCCCAGACCTACTACTGACCTGGAATTCTGGGGTGACAGTGAGGTGGAGTTCTGTAGGTTTGCTCCTTCTCTTTCCACTAATTCAGAATCTATTACACATGGCACCTAGTGGACTTTCCCTCCCAGCAGCCTCTTTCTCTGAAAGGACTTCAAAGCTGACCCCTATCATGACTATATGGAGTGTGAACACACACACACACACACACACACACACACACACACACAGAAGGATATGTCATGTAATATACATGATCTATTTATTAGATATGAATCATATGCATGTATACATATATTTAAACATAATTATTAATACATTGATTGTAAATAAATTTAAAAATACATTATATGTAAAATGTACAGATGTACACATGCTTTCACTCACACAATATGAGGTTTGATGTGCATATTATCCTCTAAAACGTAACTAGACATCTACAACTCAGTGGTTCAGGCAGCCAAAGTTAAGATGGGATTCCATTCACGTGGTTGGTAGTTTCTCTTTAAATCCATTTTCCCCTTCAGCTCTTACCTGGGAGAGGGAATTTCATCCCATTTGCAGGTAGTGACCATCATCAGCAGGGAGGAGGCCTGGGGACACCTCAAGGGAGCTTTAACTCCCTTCCCTGATAATACCCATCACTGGGATGGGGACAATCTGATTAGGTGCAACACAAACACGTCAGGGCATAACAACAGTGAACATGCCTGTTGGATGCTTGTTCACTGCTGTAAGTGTATTATCTCATTCACCCATGTTAGTTTTCTCCTTCTGCTGCTACAAACAACCATCAAGACAGTAGCTCAACTACCACAAATTCGTTCTTGTATAGTTCTAGTAGGTTAGAAGGTGGTGCGAGTCTCACTAGACTAAAATCAAGGTGTCGGAAGGCTGTGCTGTTTTCCAGAGGCTGTGGGGGAAATTCACATTGATGGTATAACTTAGTTCCTCGTGGGTGTGGAACCAGGGGCTGTGTTTCTGTGCTGACTGAAAAGCAAGGGCCATTCCCAGCTCTAGAGGCCACCACATTCCTTCACTAGTGGCACCCTTCCTCCACCTTCATAGCCAGAAATGGGGAGGTCAGCTCCTCACGTTGCATCTCTCTGACCCTGACTACAGCCAGGAAAGTTCTCCCCTTTAAGGAATTCATGGGATTTGATTTGGCCCATCTGGATAATCCAGGAGAATCTCCCCGTTCCAAGGTCTATAACCTCAATGACATTTATAAGTCATATAAGCTGTGAATTAAAGTCATAAATGCCTCTGACTATGTTCCCTTTTGCTGTATAAGGTAACATATTCACAGGTTTGGGGGATGAGGTTGTAGGCATTTTTGGAGGACCATTATTCTGCCTACCACACTACTCATTATGGCACCATTAATATCCTTACTTTAGAGATAACTAGACTAGGTTAAGTTCTCATAGCCAGTAACTTGCAGAATAATGATTTACCCCCAAAATGGGTATAATGTTCCCTAATGCATAGTATTATTATACCGACAAAATAAGATACATAATATGGTCTTTCTAGAAATAGTGAAAGGGCTATAAAACAACGGCCTCTTTAATCACATCATTGTCATCTCATTCATCCTTCTTGCCAGACAACCACCTGTCAACTTTTCATGCATCATCAATAGTTTTCACAACACTACTGTAAAGTACATGAAATTCTTGCCATCTTACAGGTGAGGCAGCCAGGACTCAGAGATTAAGTGGGCTGTCCAACACACACAGGCAGTAAGTAAGTAACAGGTATTCTGCTGGAATTGGAGCTCTGAGAGGATATTGTTAAATTTTCACTGCTAAACAAAACAGTAGATTTTCAGCAGCTATAGGAAGGAGAAGTTTATACTCTTTCCTCTAAATCACATGCCTCCAAATGCCAACCCAAAGGTGGTCTTGCACCAACCCTTGGAAAAAGTCAGAAGCCTATCAAGCTATAGAATTTTCAAGCTGAAAGAGACCTTAGAGACCAATGGATTCTAGTCAAATCTCTTCATTTTTCAAGTGAAGAAGCTGAGTCCAAATCCTTTGTTTGAGTCACACAGTGATTACTGAGCACATCCAGAGTGAGGGCCCAGTCTTCTGACCCTTCCTCTCATGCTTACCCCACTTCTTTCCAAGTCTGGGTGGATTTACAAAGCTGAAACATTGCTTTACATCCATTCTCATTCCTTCTAGGTTCCATTATTAGGCAAGTCCTCAGTTCTCAGATAGATTCCTACAACATAATTTCTAGCCCCCCTGCCAAAGGGAATTCAATGATGGCTCTACATGAAGCCTGAGCATCTGCCGTGTGCCCGCAGTGTGGTCAGCACATGATCTTCTGTTTTGCAGCATCTTCCAAACTTCAGTTACTTGAGCACTACCTTCGTGATTTTTGCCAAATTTACATACCATCTGGGTAGTTCTTTACTTAATATTTATCTTTACATTATTTTCAAAGTTCTAACTGCTTTAGCTTTATCCTGGGCTATAGTAGAAAATCATGATGTCCTAATTATTCTTTAAATATGCATTATATAAATATACAACTGTTAACTTTAAAATGTCATCTGAGTCTCTCATTTAACTACTCTCTGATTGCAAAGAACTATTATAATCCTGAATATTCTATATTCTATCCTTATGTTATATCCCAATCTATTCTCATTTTATCACAATATAAAAAAAAACCCAAGCTCAGTTAAATAACTTAATCCTGGCATCAGGGCAGAGAAGCAGCAATACCACACCTCGAAGCTGGTGCGTGCACCCAGCCTTGTCACTTACTGACATAAGAAAACACTCAGTAGAGTCATTCACACCAGGTCAGAGTTTAGAGATGCTCCACTTGAAGAGGGGCACAGATTTCCTGTTGCATGATTGTGTATAGGGGTGAGTGCATTCGGTGGGGGGAACACTTATAAGGGAGCAACGGTACTATGCCCCTTTTATTTTGAAAAGTCTTATACGTATCTACAGAGAAGTTGAAAGAGTAGTGCCGTGAGCACTCTGTTCGCCTTCGCCTGTGCTGACCGATGGGCAATACCACAGTCGGTTAACTCTCACTGTGCACTTGTGTGTGCATTGTTGTTGCTGTGTCTGCCTCATTTCAAAACAAGTTGAAGATACTTGTGTCACTTCACTCCCAAACACCCCAGCATGTACTCACCGAGAATAAAGACATTCGCCTACATAATTATAATGCCATTACCATATCAAATAAAGTACTAGGTATACAAATATTATCTAATATGCAGCCCATTTTCAAAATTTCCCAGCTGTGCCCATATTGTCTCTTTAGAGCTGTTTTCCTCTTCTCTCCGTGACCTACCAGCACTTGTTGCATTCGGTTGTCAGTTCTTAGTTTCCTTTAATCTAGAACAGTCCTTCTAACTCTGGGTTTTCATACATTGACATTTCTGAAAATTTCATGCCAGTTTTCATGATTAGTTAGATCCAGGTTAATCTGCCTTTTTTTTTTTTTTAAACACATTCCTTAGTAATATGGTCATGCAGAATCATTTGAGAAGTTACACAGACTAGTCAGAATACAGAGCAAATACCCTTAAAATCCTAGTTACTGAATAAGAAATATGACTTTTTAGCACCAATATGAACTATCAATTGGCAAGAGAAGTAGCTTTGATCTGTGGTTAGCTACACCGAACATCCCCCAAATCCTCCATATGCTCACTGACTTGAAAACTTCATCTATTCATTTTCTCAAAGACGATGCAAAATGAATACAATACCGCTTTACCTGATCTGTCATTTTCTGGTGTCAGAGTCCTCCTCTTAATCCAGGTCCTGTAGTGAGTGGAGCACATGCAGCTGGCTGGCTCCTGCCTGTGTCTTTCCAGCTTCCCAAGATTAGTTATAGTTTACAGGAGGAGGAGCAAGGCAAGTAAAGAGTGGACTTAGAATCCAAGTCTAAGTGGATGTTGAATATTGATGAGACTAATCAATATATGCTTTGACTCAGAGACTTGTTGTATTACCTTTGTTCCTCCAGGAAAGAAAACAGGAGTAGGTCCTTTAGGCATAAGTTACAAACCAGAAGTGGTCACATTTTAGGTGTAGCAGTCTCCGGGGACAGGTAAAAAGCAGATGAGATGTGCTGGGCTGCCATGCCGTGTTTTGGAGACAGCAGACAGAGACAGGGGCACGGGAGGTGCACTGCACTCTGCCCAGCAGATCACCGGTGCTGTGGCGTTTGTGCTTCAGATCTGGGCTGTGCGGCCAGAGGCTCTTGTAGGCTTGAGTGGTTACACAAGTGAGCTTTGGAGAGCTATGAACATGGGTTTGAATCTCAACATTTTACTACTGGTGGTGTGACCTTAAGCCAGTGGCTCGTTGTGACTGTTCTGTGCTTTAGTTTGAGAATAACAGAACACATACTTTGTTTCGTTGGGTGGAGTAAATGTCATATGTGAAAGTGTTTAGCATACATAGTACATATACTAGGTGCTCTGCAAATAGTGGTGTCATTGTTGTTACTATTATGATTATTGGTTCCCTGTATGTCCAGAGGCACTTGGAGGCAATAGTGTAGAGTTCTCAAATAAATCTGTTCATATTGCTTGAGCTTGTGCCCTTCTGTGTACCCTCTGTGATATCCAATTCCTTCTGGGGGCCCTGGCAACATCGAAATTGACTGAGCTTGAACTGTGCTTGGTGCTTAGTGTCATGGGTCCCACTGAGGCTCAACTGGAACCATTCCCGTTAGAGGAAATTGAGAGTTGAGAGGTCACTGAGAGTTGCAAAATTGAATGGTTGTTATGGAGAAACAGAAGATAACATAAAGAAGAGGTAAAGGAAATTCAGATTTCATCTGCTTTTTATTTTGCCACCCTCTTCTCATTTCTATCACCCCTGAATAAATATTTCAATTCAAACCATAACCTTTTATTGAGCCCGGCACAGTTCCAGGCTCAGACATGCTTGAGATAAATAAGATGCTTCGAAGCTCCTAATGTATAAGCGAAAACTAACATAAATGCAAACACAATACAGTAATTCTTTGTAGAAAAACATCGTTAACAACGATAGTTAATCTTTATTGAGCTCTTGTTTGTGCCAGGTGCTGCTTCAGCATTTCTCACGGATTAACCTGTGCAATCATAACCTGAGGCGTTCTGTGCTGCTGAGCCTGGCTTTGGGAGGGCAGCCTTGAAACCAGAGCTGCAGAAGCCCAGGTAGCCATTCTGATGCTTCCCATCCCAGTTTGGGCTGCTGATGCAATGCTTTTCCAGTGACATGACACTGTAGGAGTCTTTGTGCGACTAAAATGATAGCTACCTCTGTTCTTTGAACTTTCCTTTGAGAGAGAGAGAGAGAGAGAGAGATAGAGAGAGAGAGAGAGAGAGAGAGAGAGAGAGGGAGAGAGGGAGGGAGAGAGGGGGAGAGAGAGAGAGAGAGAGAGAGCGAGAGAGAGAGCGCGCTGGCCTTGAGAGAGCTGGCTGCATGCTTGGTGTAGTTACATGTGCATCCTGCCACACAGCAACCCTGGACAGACGCAGGAACTGTAGCTTCCTCTGTGATAGCCAAGGCCTCTTTGCTCCACTCAGAAATGAGTAACCTCTGCACCTTTTAGGGATGGGCTGAAATCTTATCCGAGGTGGGAGGGGAGAAATTCAGTCCCAGTGATTGCTTTGATGGATTTAGGGCTTGGGGAACTGATAATTATATTCCGGTTTCAGGAGAGTTTGCTTTAGCACCCACCCCAGGAGCTGTGGTCCCACTGCACCTAGGCATTTTTGTGTTTCCCTGCCTGCCTAATAAAGTCAGGTTTTTCTGCACTTTGCTGTTGGGGTGGGGGCCACTCAATGAGGTGTGCCAGAGCCCAGAATTGCCCAGAGATCCCAGCTGGGTGGGATGAAACCAGTTCTGTGTGATTGTTCTTTCCCTTCAGGTCACATTCTGATTACTTTTGCATTTAATTTAATCTTTATAGGAGATACCAACAGCTCTAGGTGGAAGTTTGCAAGGGAAGAAAAGAGTGCCCCTCATTTTTTCATGATTCTCTTTCCCTTTCAGCAAAATGAGAGCTTAGTTTATTTCTATAAACAGGAAGCAAGGAAACCAGCTGTCTCAGCATGTGGCATTCCTCTCTGGTCAGGTGTGGGGAAGTGCAAAGGCTTCTCTGAGGCACCACATTAAACAGGAGTGCAAGTGTGGGAGAGTCCCAGTCCCTGAAGAAGGCCAGTGTATTTTAGGACTTTCGAATCCAACTTGTCCCCCGTGTAGCCTGCCTCTCACCTTCCCCACAGGTACCTACCTCTCTGGTTCAAGCCACCAGCATTTCCTGTGTGTGATACACAGCTACTTGGCTTCCCTGCCCCCATTCTTGTCTTAGAGTCTCTTTGACAGAGCAGCCAACATTGATTTAAAAATTAAACCTGACCATTGCACTCCTTGCTTAAAAGTCTCCAAAGGCTTCCCAGTCACTCTTGGAAGGAAATCCACATTCGTCACCATGGCCTGAGAGATCAGTGTGAGGTAGTCCTCCCTGACTCTGAGACCTCTCTCCTACTACTGGCCTCCTCCTCCTCTGGGCTCAGCTACACTGGACTCACACTCAGTTAACGTGTGCCAGGCTCAGCACCTTTGTCTTGGGTGGGCCTCTGCCTAGAGCGCGGCACCCCAGATTCACAAGCGGCTGGCTCCTCTATATTCAGATGACTAAGAGACACTCCAAGCGGGCTTCTTAACTAAGGTAGATACCGCCTAAACCTTTCAACTCCTTATCAGGCCTGATACTCTGCCTTATTTTCTTTATAGCACTTATATTTGACATTTAATTATTCACTACCGTTTTATTATTAAAATATATGTGAATTATTAATAAATTAATTAAAATTTAAATCAAATGTTTACTTATTTGCTAAGCATTAATGTTATTGAATTTTATTACTTGCTATTATTATATTATTTACTTGTCCATTTATTATTTGGTCCCACTTTTCCCACCAAACCTAAGGTCCATGAATGGAGAGACTTTGCCCATCTTGTTATTCCTAGTGATTGTGTGTCTGGACACAGTAGATCCTCAATTAATATTTGTTTAATAAACGAAGGCAATTCAGAAAGGGTTGCCACATGCTTTGTTGCAATGGGAAAGGAGGTGCCTTAGGCTGGCATTGGGACATTTATTGATTTAACATTCACAGAATGCAGTACTTACAGAACATTTTACTAGGTACCAGTTGCAACCTCTGCCTCCTCAAGGCTAATGGCTAATTCTCTGTCCATTGGAATATTCCCTTCTCCCTGGAAACATTTTCTTTTCTTGGTCACATGGCAACCTGATCACTTGAACTTAAGGGTCTTAGGTTTAAGTAAGCCAACGTGCACTAAAGCCTGAGCTTTGATATAATAGACTCTCGAGAAAGGGTTTGGTAAAGAGTAGACAATTCTCAGACAGTAGCGTGAATGTGCATTGGGTGGAGCAAAGTGTGGAAGGGGGAAAAAGAACATAATTAAAAGGAGTAAAGTCCGGGTCTGCAGGAAGGTCGGCTGAGGCTGGCATGTTCTCCTTCTTGGATGATGCTGTGGAGCCAGAACCGGCCCCTTGGACTTCCCCTGGCAGTGAGCCTTGGCAGGGGTCCAGAAATGTCCAGCTGTGGTCGAAGTGCAGCCCTGGCCTCTGTGTCTAGCCACATCCAAGGCTAGGGGAGTCCATTAGGACCTTAGGAAGCGTGTCCTATGCTGGGACTAAGAAGGAAGAACGTGGGGCAGGTTGTTGGTGCTAATTCTGTCTGGCAGTGAATCAATTTTCTATTTCCTCTATTTCTCTTTTTTTTGTTCTATCAAACTTGCCTGTAACTCAGTGGATCTATATAAGTGGATAAGAAAGAATTAGTAGATTCTTTTGGCTAGCTCGGTGGTCACCTGGAGAGACTCAGACTGTCTAAGGTGACTAACCCAAATGTACACAGAGGTCTGTGACACCTCTTGACCCCATCTTCAAGGCAGACCTAGGGACACCAGGTTCAGGACAAAGGAAGTAGCCTTGGTCACTGGGGCTATAACTGTCAAGACTTCTTGGACTAAAGCAGTGACCTTAATAACCTTACAATAACCCACATTCAGAGCACCAGATGAAAAGCTCCCCATAACTTGTAAGTCTAGGTACTGTCCCCACCTTTTATTGAGCTCTTCTTTCAAAAATACCTACTTCATTTTAATAGCAAATTAAACATAAATACACAAGACCATTGTCATTGAGAAATGTAATAGAATACAGATAAAATGACCCTCTACCACCACCTTTGACCAAGACACCTCCTCAGAGGGGTCTCTGTTTTTAGTTTGGTAGCTGTCTTTCCAATCCACCATCCCCTCTGAACCATCTACCCTAATTTGTTTTTCCTAGTTTCTGTCACTTTGGCTCCTCCCCATATTTGTCCTCTTTGTAATGTACTAATGAAATTTTAATTTAACTACTCCTCACGAAACTTCCTCTTTGTTTGTCCTCCTTGATATGGAATATAATAAGCATGTAGACCAGTGACGCCTAGTTCCTCGGTCCAGGCTCCAGTGTCTAATACCCTTTCCTAGCACCCCAGGCCTCTACTTGTTTAAGAGAGCATGAGAAGACCAGCTATGTCACCACTTCTGCCCAGCCAATGACACCTAGCTGACCCTCTTAGTCTGCTGGCCATGGCTTTGGAAAAGAACAAGAGTTTCCCCTTCCTGGGCTGGAATAGCTTTATGCCTCTTCTGTACCCAAGGCCCCTTGTAAAGAGGGGCCACCACTCAGAAGGGTTCGGAGCCCTGGACTGGTGTGAAGGGACATTGTTTGGGTCCTCCCTTTGTCAGCCTTTGGTTATTTGACCATGGACAAGTCCTGTTTAACCCCTCTGGACTTCACTTGTAAATCAAATAGATAATCTCTAAGTCTTTTTACAGGTAAAGTAGAGATTGCATCTAACACATGGCATTGTTGTGCAGATTAACTAAGATAATAGGAGTACAGTGCTTAGGACAAAGCCCAGTGTATAGTAAATGGTCGCTGCTCAGTAGATGCTAGCTGTTACCATTTTTCTGCTCTCAGTTTCCATAATGCTTTGTTTTCAATTTAACATCCTTTTCAAAAGTTAATATGGGGTTGATTCTGTGACTCCCTGGGTTGACTAAGCTAGGTGAGCTCTGCCCATTTTAGGATGGAGCTTGTGATATTTGGCAATGAGGGTAGTTCTCATTAAAAGAGCAAAGGGGCACCTACTGAGTGGGCAGGCCCCTGGGTCTGGGCCATTCATGTCACAGAGCTTTGACAATCTGTAGCAAATTCATTTGACAGATGCACATCTATGGCAATTTTTCAGTGAGCACTGTCCCAAATTAATTAATCATCAGGCAATTCAGTCTAAATTGAATGGTGCTGCTGCATGCAGAAATTTTTTGTTTGCAATTCTTGAGTCATCTCAGTTTAAATTAAGCCTATTAAAATTCTCTGTTCCTAACCATTTTTCAATCAAGTGTGCCTAAATGGCCACAATAGTCTGCAGGGTATCTTTCTGTTGAGTTTTTGTCTCTTTAATGTCTGTGAGTTAATCATTTTCTGACAGTGTTTGTGCTATTTCTAGCATTGCCTTCAATACCTTTTGCTGCTAATTTGTGTGTGCTAAGGGCGGCTTATGAGGTTGATATAAAAAGTGGGAGCAAAGAGCATAAGGTCATCATTGAGGCTTGACAAACAACGTTGCTTGGTGTTGTTGACTAATAGGTCACCAATAAAAGGAGTGGTCAGTATCAGGGAGAAATGGCCCTTGTGACAGCTGTTTACCAGATGCAGAGTTCCAGGAATGGACTGTCATGAGCAGATGGTGCAACTCGGTGGTGGGCATGCTGTTGACGTGGGTGCCTTTGTCCTGTAGATCTCTAAGAGTCACAACCAGCTTTGCTTTATTAGCCCCATTCTCCTCAAAAATTCCCCATGCTTACAAACACCAAATGTGGGCTTCTGACATCTCTTCAGGGACATCGAGAGTCAGTGACGAGACTGGGAAGAGAAAGCCCAAATAGAATCCCTCTCCCTTACACCTTGAAGTACCTCCTCTCTGAGCAGTGCAAGTGGGTCTGATGAAGCACTTTGTGGTTGTTGGTGGGGAGAGGAAGCAGTTTTTCTTTTTCTTCAGTGATTCAAATGAGCATTTCAAAAATCGAAGGTCAGAGCCTCTGTGCAGTAAATGATGCAGTTTCCATAGTCCTGGGAGCAACCCTCCAGGTCTCTGAGGCTGTTCAAGGTAGCTGCAGACAAAGCCCTCCTTTGCATTTGCCAAGGTAACTGCGGGGAGGTAGAGCCTGACCCCCGGCCCCACCCCTGCATTCCCTCTCACTTCCCCTCACTGCTTTTTCTTCTCTTTTCAAATTCTCCCCAGGTGGTCTAGGCTGGAGGGAAAGGGGAAATTGCTTTGTTTGCTAAAGCATGAACACACTTTTTTACCCTCATCCAAGCACAAGATTCCAGCCAAGCCCTATGGGTGGGTGCTGTTGCCACACCACGAAGCCATGGCCTTTGCTTTGCCACTGATGGGAGCAGGATGAAGAGGGTCAGGAGAGTACCTTGGTGGAGAAGACATAGCACCATCCTAGATGCCTGGAGATGAGCCTCGTGCCACTGCTGCTGCAGCCCTCCAGGCCACCTTGAGTCACTCAAGGACTTGGGAGTGCAGTTTCTGAGGGGTGAAGCTCTAAGTTCCTTGTAGATATGCAATGTTGTTTTTTCAAGACATGTAAGATCACAGCGAGGATAGGGATGGGTTTCTTGCTGACGTCTTCACACTAATGGGCAGAGATGGTCTGAGTGGTCCCGTTGGTGTGTCGTGAGTGACCAATTCTAATCCAAGTTCATTTCTGGTGATGAGAGCCCAGGCCAGGAGGCTGCCCCAACACTAGAACATCCCTGATCTTTTTGTTCTCATTTCGTAGCACCCAGTTTGACTCATCCATTGTCCCTACAGATTTCTTGCCAGTGAGAACTCACTTAGCATTTTAATCCATTAATTTGCTGCTGCAGAGCCAGTTCTGCCTCGCAGATGCCAAGGCATTGAAAGATTGCTGTCTGCAAAGTTTATTTGGTAATAAAATACAAAAGCATCTCCAATACCAGATGGTTAAGGTAGTGCTTTGTCTGATTGTCATTGTGAACCTCCATGAAGACTGTAGCTGGAATGTTAGTAGGAGTGCGGGACCAGGAAATGGATCAGGGAAGGAACTATGGGCTTCCACAGAAGCCGCTGCTGGGCTGGTAAGGCTAAACTGGAGTTTAAAGGCTGCCATTCTAATAAGCTACAATATCTTTTACTAAAGTTGTATTATACTCATTTATTTTTTTAACCATCAAGGCTGAAGGAACGACGGAGGCCAACCCATGCATATGGTATGGCACACGGATATAAACCCAAGAGCACCAGATGGAAATGTACGTTCAACTACAGAAAGTAAAAAAAAAGTATTTTGGTTTTTTCAGAAAGGGGAAAATGGGAAAAATATGATTTTAGGTATTGACAGTAGCACAGGAGAAGTTTCTCTCTTTAGAAAGATATACGCATTTAAAAAATAACAATGGTATTCTTTTTATGTAGTTATTCCTCTAAACTTTCTCTTGCACATTTTGGGTATTATAAGAACAGCCATGCACAAAGTTTACAAAGAACTTTTCCAGCTGATCACAACTACGAGTGGGGCAGGAATAGTCTAATCCCCTTTTTA